TTCACTGTGGCTGATGAACGAAGTGCACTCCAGCAGCAGTAGCTGGCTCTGGGCATTTATACTTTATGTTTTGATCGGTATCATCAGAGGGGTTGATCTGCGTTTGCTCCTCCCAGCAGTGCAGAAGGTGCCTCTTGGCTCAGACTTCACTGCCATTGTGATCTTGGTCAGGAGGATGTGATCTTGGCCTGAGGCTTAGGCTCATGGCTGGTGTTCTGTGACGAGGCCGGTGCACCTATGAGTGTCCAGGGGCCTCCTCCTACTTGGTGGCCGCCTGTACCCTTCTGTTTTCCTTTTGGCTTGTTGATAGTTTTCTTGGCGTGTAGGTGCTCTAATGTAGAAGGGGGAGCCAGCCCGCCACCTGTGTGATGTGTTGCCAGTGCCCCACAGTTTCCTATCTGGGGACTTGGCTTATGGTGCTTTTCCCTATGGAGATTTGCGCCTCTGTGCCGTGCACCGTATCAGTGTTGCCTTCGTGGCTCTGGGCTTCATGTCTTCCTTCTGGAGGCTTTCCTCACTTCAATGTTTTAAAAAATTATCCCCCATTTTCTTCTGGTATTTGACTCATTGGGATTTGTTTCAGTGTGTGCTGGAAGGAAGAGATCCAACTAGATAGATTTTCAGAGGTCGTCTTCCCTGCGCACCCCACCCACTACCCTGATTGTGACTTAGACACTCAGGGTCTGTTTCTGTACTCTGTTGTTTCCCGAGGGTGATACCGATGCCGTCCCTTGTGAATTCGGGATTGTGGTCTGTGCTCTCGTGTTAGGCCCGCCTGGCCCTGCGTGTTCGGGATTGTGGTCTGTGTGTGCTCTGCGTGTTAGGCCGCCTGGCCCTGCGTGTTCGGGATTGTGGTCTGTGTGTGTTCTCGTGTTAGGCCCGCCTGGCCCTGCGTGTTCGGGATTGTGGTCTGTGTGTGCTCTCGTGTTAGGTTGGCCTGGCCTGCGTGACCGGGATTGTGGTCTGTGTGTGCTCTCGTGTTAGGCCCGCCTGGCCCTGCGTGTTCGGGATTGTGGTCTGTGTGTGTTCTCGTGTTAGGCCATACAACCCTGCGTGTTTGGGATTGTGGTCTGTGTGTGCTCTCGTGTTGGGGTTGGTCTGGCCCTGCGTGTTGGGATTGTGGTCTGTGTGTGCTCGTGTTAGGCCCGCCACAGCCCTGCGTGTTCGGGATTGTGGTCTGTGTGTTGTCGTGGCCAGGCCCGCCTGGCCCTGCGTGTTCGTGATTGTGGTCTGTGTGTGTTCGTGTTAGGCCCGCCACAGCCTGCGTGTGTTGGGGTTGTGGTCTGTGTGTGCTCGTGTTAAAGTCCGCCTGGCCCTGCGTGTTCGGGATTGTGGTCTGTGTGTGCTCGTGTTAGGCCACCACCTGGCCCTGCGTGTTCGGGATTGTGGTCTGTGTGTGCTCTCGTGTTAGGCCCGCCTGGCCCTGCGTGTTGGGATTGTGGTCTGTGTGTTATCGTGTGCAGGCCCGCCTGGCCCTGCGTGTTCGGGATTGTGGTCTGTGTGTGTTCTCGTGTTAGGCCCGCCCTGCGTGTTCGGGATTGTGGTCTGTGTGTGTTATCGTGTTAGGCCCGCCTGGCCCTGCGTGTTTGGGATTGTGGTCTGTGTGTGCTCTCGTGTTAGGTTGGCCCCTGGCCCTGCGTGTGTGAGTTATGGTCTGTGTGTGCTCGTGTTAGGCCGCCTGGCCCTGCGTGTTCGGGATTATGGTCTGTGTGTGCTCTCGTGTTAGGCCGCCTGGCCTGCGTGTTCGGGATTGTGGTCTGTGTGTGTTCTTGTGTTGACCCGCCTGGCCTGCGTGTTTGGGATTGTGGTCTGTGTGTGCTCGTGTTAGGTTGGTCTGGCCTGCGTGTTCGGGATTGTGGTCTGTGTGTGCTCTGTTAGGCCCGCCTGGCCCTGCGTGTTGAGTTGTGGTCTGTGTGTGTTATCGTGTTGAGCCCGCCTGGCCTGCACCGTGTTCGTGATTGTGGTCTGTGTGTGTTCTCGTGTTAGGCCCGCGCCTGGCCTGCGTGTTCGGGATTGTGGTCTGTGTGTGTTCTCGTGTTAGGTCCGCCTGGCCCTGCGTGTTCGGGATTGTGGTCTGTGTGTGCTCTCGTGTTAGGCCCGCCTGGCCCTGCGTGTTGAGTTGTGGTCTGTGTGTGCTCTGGAAGTGTTAGGCCCGCCTGGCCCTGCGTGTTCGGGATTGTGGTCTGTGTGTGTTATCGTGTTAGGCCCGCCTGGCCCTGCGTGTTCGGGATTGTGGTCTGTGTGTGTTCTCGTGTTAGGCCCGCCTGGCCCTGCGTGTTCGGGATTGTGGTCTGTGCTCTCGTGTTAGGCCCGCCTGGCCCTGCGTGTTCGGGATTGTGGTCTGTGTGTGTTATCGTGTGTTAGGCCCGCCTGGCCCTGCATTCGGGATTGTGGTCTGTGTATTGCTCTCGTGTTAGGTTGGCTGGCCTGCGTGTTAGGAGTTGTGGTCTGTGTGTGCTCTCGTGTTAGGCCCGCCTGGCCCTGCGTGTTGAGTTGTGGTCTGTGTGTGCTCTCGTGGAGAGCTTCGGGATTGTGGTCTGTGTGTGCTCTCGTGTTAGGCCCGCCTGGCCTGGCGTCTTGCTCATCTCGTTTGTCCCCCTCATTTCCTGCATAAGTTTCCGCAGGAGCTTTCACACTCCACTTGTGTGTTCTAACAAGACACCCATAGGCAAGTGTCGGCGTGGTGTGTCCGTTTAGGGAGAATTCCTGCCTGTGATGTTTTGCTCCTCAGTTCCCTGGTGACAGGATACGAGGCAAGCACAAAGAGTTGGCCCCCTCCCAGGACCCCTGCCCCAGAGAGAGTGAGTGTGTAAGTGAGTGTATGCCTGAGAGTTTCACACCTGGCTTACATGCAGAACGGGGCACTTGCCACATGGGGAAGTCTTGGATGTTGGGATTCTTTAAGCAAGGCATTTCCAGACGGTTCTGTCGACATGGTGGCAGAGGCGCTGGGCGCAGAGAGCCTCACATGGCCCCTGTCCTTGTGTCCTTGGCCCCAGGGCTCCTGGCTTGGCCGCCCTGTCCTGAATGTGAGTGCCAGTACGCGTCCTCTCGCAGTGCGTGCCGCCCCTTCCCCCGCAGCTCGGAGTCAGGGCTTCCGGGTGAGCCCCAGCTGCAGTCCTGTGGGTCTTCAGTGCATGCTGGCTGCCACTGCGATCACACATGTGATCTCACAAATAGCAGATCAACAGCATGGTGGATTCAAGGAAACGTTAACACTGTGTTTCCGATCCTATCCGAGAACTTCCTTTCAGTCTTCTTTTAATTTTTTTCTATAGCAGTTTAAATTATTTGATTATTCTTTAACATTTTCTTTTTTAATCTAAATGCTCTTTGCACTTTGAATGACTCCTGCTGAGTGTAGCCTCTGGCTGCCATGCTGACCATGAGGGACACTGTTGGATCAAATCCCTGGTTTTGTCTCCTGGGCCCTAGGGCTCCACTTTTCTCTGGTTTAGCGGGGCCCACACTGTGGCCTCCTTGGAAGCCTCTGGCCAAGCCTCTGCCTGTCGCCTAGAGCACATCTGCACACTGGGCTGAATCCATAAGGTTTAGTGTCACTTCTGCCCCTGAGAGGAGTTGATGCTGCATGACTGCCCCCTTCCTGGTCTCTTTCTACCTCTGGTCCCTTACTGCTGATAAGATGTGTTCTAATTGCTGGCCTGGAGCTGGAGCCCGTCAACTCATCCAGTGGGATCAGTCCTGTGGCCTTGACTTTACAGCAATGCCAGCCTGGGCGGTTTATCCTGCGCACTGTGCCACAGGAGGCTGGTGAAGGAGCAGGAGGGGAGCATAGCATATTTTATTATGCTGCTGACAACATTCTGTGAGGCTGCTCTGTCAGTCAGCTGCGTTCCTTAAAGCTGTGGCAGAAAAGCAAGCCCAAAACCCAGGGCCTCCTAACAACGCAGGTTTAGTGACCACCTTGTCACACGTCATCTGTGGTCAGCAGGGCATGGCTCAGCTGCAGGCTAAGGACAGCCCCGTGTGGGATGCCCTGTGCTCACAGAGGAAGCACTTGTGCTCCAGCAGACTGGGCAGCGGCTCCTAAAGCTGGGCTCACACTGGCCACATCCCTTCTTCTTGGGCTCAGACCAGGTCGCCCACTCAGGGACAGGGGTGCCCCCACACTGCTCACGTCAGGAGGGACGGGGTGCCCCCACACTGCTCGCGTCTGGTGGACGAGGGTGATGAACAGGGATTTCCTGGGGACCTCCCTTCTCTTTATTCAAGAGCTCAGGAGATACTGGGAACCAAAGGCCACTGAGGGCCATTTTGCAGACAAGTCAGGCAGGATCTGGTGTCCTGGGATGCGTGCTGTGCCATATCCCACGTCAGGTTGCCTGTAATGAGCCGCTGAGCCGACACGCGTGTCTGAGGGCTTAGCTCTGGACACTGTGCCTGAGCGTTTCATGTTGAGAAGAAGCCACATGTGGAGCAGTGCGCAGTCACGGGTGTGTGGGCTCCACGTCCGGAAGGTGAGCCTCGTGCCCCCCTAGACTGCACACTCGTCCCCAAGGGCACCGCGGGTCAGGACATAACACACGTGGCATACACGGCGCCCTGTGCCCAGTTGCTTTTGCTCTAGCAAGTCTGGGAAACGCCTCGTTGCCATGATGGTCTTATGCTCTGCGTGTGCATTTTTCTGTGTAAGGTCAGTTGCTTTTCTTGTTCAACCCTGTGGCTGTAGTTTATTGTTTGGGTGAGTGTGCACGTGTGAGCGTATGAGTGTCGTGCAAGGGTGTTGTGTGGGTATGCACATTTGAATGTGTGTGTGCTCGTGCACACACATGTGCAGCCGCTCAAGATTGGGGTCTGTGTTTTGTCCCTGTGTGTAGAATGCACTGGCAGGTGGTAGTTGTGCCGTGCATGGTTGTTGACTGAATGGGTGTTGGGACAGAGCTTGCTGCGTGTCCCAGGGTCTCCTGTGGGAAGGCAGAGCGCTCGCTGGGCCGGGGCGGAGGGCAGGGGTGCAGGTGCTGTCTGTACTGGTCCCGCAGAGTTGACGGGCGCCGACCTGAAGGACTGCGTCAGCAACAACAGCCTGAGCAGCAATGCCAGCCTCCCCAGCGTGCAGAGCTGCCGGCGCCTGCGTGAGAGGAGGGTCGCCAGCTGGGCCGTGTCCTTCGAGCGCCTGCTGCAGGACCCCGTTGGTGTCCGCTACTTCTCTGTGAGTAGGGAAGAGCCCAGGGCCAGCGGAGCAGTCTGTGCTCTGCCGAGACTACCGAGCAGAATCTGCGGGCTGCCCTAGAGACAGCGGCACCCTGCGGGCTCTGAGCAGGCCCGTGGCAAGGGCCTCCCTTCCCTGGACCGCCACCCTCTCAAGAGCTCAGAGGAGGGTGGGTTGAATCCTGCCCCTGGTTCTGTCCCCAGGAAGAGTCCCTGGCCCTCCCGCGCTCCACCGGGGTCTCTGCAGCCCGCTGCACTGGAGCTTCCTATGTGCATTGAGAAGCCAGGTGCCTGCTTTCAGCTCTTCAAAGAAATGTTTTGCTTTTGGGGAAACAGCTGGAAGCGGCAGCGCGGTTCCCTAAAGTGCTGGGCAGCAATGAGCTTTCTCTCTCCAGGCGCTTGGGCAGCTCACTGAGCAGCCTATGACCCCATGGTTTCTGTAGAAGGGAAGTAAGAAAAAGGAGGACCGTGTGTCAATGTTAATAAATGGTATCTTTCTTAGGATTTTCTAAGGAAAGAATTCAGTGAAGAAAACATTTTATTCTGGCAGGCCTGTGAATATTTTAATCATGTTCCTGCACATGACAAAAAGGAGGTAAGTCTACACTCGGGAAGTGGGGGCTGTGAGAGGGCGCAGGTGAGAGGGCGACGTGTGTGTGAGGGCGGTGCGTGAGGGTGGGGCGTGTGTGTGAGGGCGGTGCGTGGGGGTGGGGCGTGTGTGTGAGGGCGGGGCGTGTGTGAGGGCGGTGTGTGTGTGAGAGAGCCGTGTTGTGTGAGGGCAGCACGTGTGAGAGGGCGGTGCGCGTGAGGGGGTGGCGCGTGTGTGTGAGGGCGGCATGTGAGGGCGTCGTGCCTGCGTGAGGGCAGCACACGTGTGTGAGGACAGCACGTGTGAGAGGGCGGCGCGTGTGAGAGGGCGGCACGTGAGAGGGCGGCGCATGTGTGTGAGGGCAGCGTGTGTGTGAGAGAGCCCTGTTGTGTGAGGGCGGCGCGCGTGAGAGGGTGGCGCGCGTGTGAGGGCGGCACGCGTGAGGGTGGCGTGCGTGTGAGGGCAACGCGCGAGAGGGCGGCGTGCGTGTGAGGGCGGCGCGCGTGTGAGGGTGGTGCGTGTGAGGGTGGCGCGTGTGAGGGCGGCGCGTGTGTGTGAGGGCATGTGTGTGAGGGCGGCGCGTGTGTGAGAGAGACGTTTTGTGTGAGGGCAGCGCATGTGAGAGGGCGGCGCGTGTGTGAGGACGGCGTGTGTGTGAGGGTGGCGCGTGTGTGTGAGGACGGCGTGTGTGTGAGAGAGACGTTTTGTGTGAGGACGGCGTGTGTGTGAGGGTGGCGCGTGTGTGTGAGGACGGCGTGTGTGTGAGGGTGGCGCGTGTGTGTGAGGACGGCGTGTGTGTGAGAGAGACGTTTTGTGTGAGGGCAGCGCACGCGCGAGGGGGCGGCGCGTTGCGTGAGGTCGGCGCATGTGTGTGAGGTCGGCGCGTGTGAGAAGGCAGCACGTGTGTGTGAGGGTGGCATGTGTGTGAGGGTGGCATGAGCGTGAGAGAGCCACGTTGTGTGAGGGTGGCGTGTGTGAGAGGGCGGCGAGTGTGTGTGAGGGCGGCGCGTGAGGTCGGCGCGTGTGTGTGAGGTCGGCGCATGTGAGAAGGCAGCACGTGTGTGTGAGGGTGGCGTGTGTGAGGGCGGCATGAGCGTGAGAGAGCCACGTTGTGTGAGGGCGGCGCACGCATGAGGGCGGTGAAGCCAGCGCCATGAAGTGATGTGTGTGTAAAACCCGTTATGTGGCGAAAGCGCCTACGCGCGAAGCTGATGTGTATTGTAGAGAGAAACCCGCGTTATGTGAGGCGCCACGCGCAGGCAGTGTGTGTGTAGAAGCCCGTTGTGTGGCCCAGCGCCATGGTAGTGTCACGCATGAGGGCGGTGTGTGTGTGAGAGAGCCACGTTGTGTGAGGGTGGCATGCACGTGAGGATGGTGCGCATGTGTGAGGGCAGCGCATGTGTGAGGGCGGCGCGTGTGTGAGGTCAGCGCGTATGTGTGAGGTCGGCGCATGTGAGGGTGGCACGTGTGAGAGGGCAGCGCGTGTGTGAGGGCGGCGTGTGTGAGGGTGGCAGGTGTGTGAGAGAGCCACGTTGTGAGGGTGGCGCGTGTGTGAGGGCGGCGCGTGTGTGAGGGTGGCGTGCGCGAGAGGGTGGCACATGTGTGTGAGGGCGGTGCGCATGTGAGGGCGGAGCACGTGTGAGGGCGGCGTGCGTGTGTGAGGGTGGCGCGTGTGAGAGGGCGCCACGCACGCAAGAGGGCGGCGCGTGTGTGTGAGGGTGGTTGGTGTGTGTGAAGGGGCGGCGTGGCCTCATTCGAGGCTGGCTTGGTGCAGGGAGCATCTAGAGCAGTTGGAAAGTGGATGTTAAAATATTTTCACATGGCTTGAAAAAATCATTTCTTTTTCAGAGTAAATTTTTAAATATACATGATATTTAATTTTGCCTAAACGTGGTTTGTATAAACGCCCTCAGCCCCAGCTTTCACCAGCAGATGGGTTGTCTTTCAGTGTGCTGGAATTCTGAGGAGGGAATGTGTATTTAGGGGAATTTGAAAGCAAATCAGAGGCAGGAGTCATCCCAGGCCATAGGTTTCACCGTTTCTCCTCCCGCGCCTCGTGGGAGGTGCGGGAGAGGCCTGGGAGGGAAGCTTTGGCTTGGCCTGGCTGCTGTGTTCTCAGTCGGCCTGTGGCCTCGCTTCCAGGCTCCGGGGCTGCTTTCATCTGCTCACGATGCTCAGAGGGCGCTGCTCTCCTGCGCTCCCACCTTGCCAAGACCAGGTGTGTGTGGACACACGGCAGTACTGCCTGTGTGCAATTGCTGCTTGGCTCGCATCGCCCGGGTCTTTGGGACACTTTTAAGTATCCGTTTAAACAATCGTAGAGGAGCCCACCTGTGCTGCTGCATTCTGGCCACACTTGTATTTATTTATTCAACTAAGAGGTAATGACTGGGTCCCGTGAGAACACATCTGTAGTGCCCGGGGGTGTCAGGCCTTGGCAGGCAGCAGGAGTGTGGGGAGAGGAAGCCGTGCCAGGCTGCTCAGGTGCCTTTTCTGTCAGCTTTCCTACAGGGCCCGGGAGATTTTCAGTAAGTTTCTGTGCAGCAAAGCCACCACCCCGGTCAACATCGACAGCCAGGCCCAGCTAGCAGACGATGTCCTCCGTGCACCTCACCCGGATATGTTCAAAGAGCAGCAGCTCCAGGTAACCCCAGGCCATGGGAGCTTGTGGGGAGTCCAGGCTAGGGCTCGGGGTATAGGGTCCACCTTCAAAGAACATGTGCTATCAGGCAGGCCGGTGGATTGAGAGCATCACAGACACAGGTGGAGAAACGCAGGCAGAAAGTGGAGCTTTCAGTAGGGCCGTGAAATAAGTCCCGAACCACTGTGTGCCTGTCTGCAATGTGCTGACTGTTCACACTGGCTCATGTTTCAATGCATGTGCATCTGTGTGGAGTCACACCTGCATGGGTGATGGCACAGCTGCGTTTGAAGTTTTGCATTGTAGGACATTGCTGTGGTGATGTGCGTTAGGTCCCATGCCTTTGGAGACATGCCTTTGCACGTCACTGCAGTATGTGGGTCACATTCACAGAAGCATAGGGTGGCATTTTCAAAGCAGTCTGCTGTTCGATTTCTAGTCACTTTTGGTTTTAATCTTATTTAACGAAAGTTATCTGGAGTCTGCTCGTACTGATGGCTTCTGTAAGTTGTCAGAATTCACTAATTGTAAGAGTGATAAAGGGTGGTTTGCTATGAGAAAGAAGACTCAGATATAGGGGCACACTGGACATAACTCTTAAGTACTCTCGGGGCTGGCGGGGGAAAATGGACTGAAATGATGTCCTTTCAGGATGGCCAGTGGTTGCCTACAGGTCGCCAAGCAGCCATGCGCCTGAGGCCGCATGTCCAGGTCCCTCCTGTGACTGTCCTGCCTTACATCCCCTCCCCAGATCTTCAATCTCATGAAGTTTGATAGCTACACTCGCTTTCTGAAGTCCCCACTGTACCAGGAATGCATCTTGGCGGAAGTGGAGGGCCGCGCACTCCCGGACTCCCAGCAGGTCCCCAGCAGCCCGGCTTCCAAGCACAGCCTCGGTTCAGACCAGTCCAGTGTGTCCACGCCAAAAAAGGTGACCTCCCTGAGGCTGACCTCACGCCCCTGTGGGTTGTATGTCATCAGCTGAGAGCTGTTCTGTGGGAAGTGAAAAGAGGCCCTGTCGGCTTCTTCACCAGTGGTGGGCGATGCTCCATGCTGGGAAGTTCCAGCTGCTGTTTCTGGAGTCCTGTCAGGGCCACACTATGACCTATAGAAGTGATACCATCCCATAGAGTGCTTGTATTTACAGCTCAGTATTGCCTCCTTTGCACTTAATGTCAGAGTAAAATAACTTCACATGGTTTTAACCAAGGTTTCCATTTGATGACAGTTAAGTGGAAAATCAAAATCCGGCCGATCCCTGAACGAAGAAATGGGGGATGAGGATAGTGAGAAGAAGCGGAAAGGCGCGTTTTTCTCGTGGTCACGGACCAGGAGCACTGGGAGGTCCCAGAAGAAGAGGGAGCACGGGGACCACGCAGACGGTTTGTGGGGTGGCTCTTGGGCTGTGGTGTCCAGGCCAGGCAGCCATGTCCCCGTTCTGGCACTGTTTTGGGGGTTGGTGGTGACCTTGGGCCATGTGTGCAGTGAGAGGCCCTGTGGGTGGGTCAAGGAAGCTTCTCTGAATGAATAAGGAATGCCACTGTGTCTGGGGGGCACGACCTGTCAGCCAGCCAGAGGGCAGCAGGGCTGCTCCAGAATCTTCCAGAGAAAAGGGCTCAGTCTGTTCCAGCCCATGCCTACCTCAGGCCTCCCCCACACAGTGGCGGCTGAACATCTGTGTCCTCTCCTGCTTTTCACTACAAAAGTAATAGGTGCTTTTGGTAGAAAATTTGGAAAATACAATCAAGTAAAAATAGGAACACACAAATGTGCTATTGGGCGTCTCCCCCAGTGGCAGCTTGGTTCTCTGCCAGGGCTTTTTCCTAGGTAGGTGTCAGTGTCCATGTGCCTTTTCCATGTGTGTGGTTTTAGAATGTGGTAGCGTAGTCGAAGTTGTGAGCCTTTTCCACGTGTGTGGTTTTAGAATGTGGTAGCGCTCCTTTCCATCAGTGTGTGGTTTTAGAATGTGGTAGCGTAGTTGAAGTTGTGAGCCTTTTCCACGTGTGTGGTTTTAGAATGTGGTGTTTTAGTTGAAGTTGTGAGCCCCTTTCCCACGTGTGTGTGGTTTTAGAATGTGGTAGCGTAGTTGAAGTTGTGAGCCTTTTCCAAGTTAAGATTGGTATTGGATATCGGGGGCTGCCCATTCTGGCTGCTCTGTCCCTTTTTTCTCTTGTGCACGTCTGAAACTTCCTGTAACAAAAGTGAGGCAGAGAGACGCCTCCCAGGGCGCCAGGGGGTGGGGCTGCGGGGTCCTTGGTGGCTCCTGGCCGAGCTCCAAATACCAGCTGGGTGGTGTTGGCAGGCGGCAGGGCAGAGGGCCTGGAGATGCCCATGCTGAATGCGGGCGAAGATGAGGCTGCTCTGTACCAGGTGCTGAAAAGCACAAAGGGGATAGCTGAGAAGATTTTCTTCTCTAGAGATTTTTGGGAAAGGTATTAATTTTCAGGAATGAGTGTCCTGCCTGACAGAGGACTGGCACTAAGCCTGTTGTCTCCTAGTTTAAATCAGGCAGTGAGGTGATTGCACTAGTACCAGCTGGCGTGGCCCTGTTGGAGGCAGGTGAGCAGGGTGCTCTGTGCTCTGCCGCTGCGGCTCCTGTGTGTGCCCTGCAGTGCCAAGCATTTGTGCATGGCTGCTCCCTGCCTGCAGGGGGGAGCGTTGTTCCTGGGGCATGGAAGGAGGTGTTGGTGAGGGCTTGATGTGGGCAGCCCTGAACTCCTGGCCATGCTGTGAGGTGCTCTTCTCCAAGCAAAGGCACCTGAGAGTTGTAGAGCTCACCTTTGTAGGAGGCCACCTGGGAGATGGACACTATGGCATTAGGTGGGGCCAGGCCTCCTGCGTAGCTGGGAGATGGGAGTGTTTGCTTCAGACAGTCCATCTACTCGTGCCCACCCCCACACCTGGCAGATCTGCAAAGGGCCTTTAAAACCTTGATAGAGCCGGGTGTGGGAGCTCACGCCTGTGATCCCAGCACTTTGGGAGGAGGCTGAGGCAGGCGGATTGCCTGAGCTCAGAAGTTGGTGACCAGCCTGGGCAACATGGTAAGGCTCTACTAAAAATACAAAAAAAAAAAAAAAAAAGGCGGGGGTGGGGGCCAGGCACGGTGGCTCATGCCTGTAATCCCAGCACTTTGGGAGGCTGAGGTGGGCAGATCAACTGAGGTCAGAAGTTCGAGACCAGCCTGGCCAACATGGTGAAACCCCGACTCTACTAAAAATACAAAAACTAGCCAGATGCGATGGTGCATGCCTGTAATCCCAGCTACTCAGGAGGCTGAGGCAGGAGAATTACTTGAACCCAGGAGGTGGAGGTTGCAGTGAACTGAGATTGTGCCATTGCACTCCAGCCTGGGCAACAGAGCGAGGCTCCATCTCAAAAAAAGAAAAAAAAAATTAGCTGGGTGTGGTGGTGGGCACTTTTAGTCCCAGTTACTCAGGAGGCTGAGGCATGAGAATCACTTGAACCTGGGAGGCGGAGGTTACAGTGAGCCGAGAACTGCACTCTAGTTTGGGTGACAGAGCAAGACTGTCTCATAAAACAAATAAATAAAACCAAACCTTGATAGCAGTGGGGCACGGTGGCTCATGCCTTTAAATCCCAGTGCTTTGGCCAGGGGCAAGGTGTGAGGATCATTTGAGCCTAGGAGTTCAACACCAGCCTGGGCAACATAGCAAGACACTCATCTCTACAAATAAAAATAAACATTAGCCAAGTGTGTAGTGGTAGCACACGTGTAGTCCTAGCTGTTGGGGGGACTGAGGTGGGAAGAAAATTGCTTGGGTCCTGGAGTTGGAGGCTGCCGTGAGCTATGATGGTGCCACTGCACCCCAGCCTGGGGGACATAGCAGCGCTCTGTCTCTGAAAAACACAAAGCAAACCAAAAAATAAAACCCGAACTGCAGGCACTCCCAGAACTAACACGTTCTGATCTTGGCCCAGGATGTAGCCTGGGCATCTGTTCCTGTGGAAGGTGGCTGCAGTCTGGAGGCCAATGGGTCTGGGAGCTGCCTTCCCCTCTCCCCTCAGGTCCCAGAGCCCATGCACAGTGGCATGGTTTGGGAGCAAGTGCTGTTTGAAAAGCCCTTTCTGTGTCAGAATCTTCATGATTGGTAGATTAGCCTAAGAATATAGTTCGTTGAGGTTAGTGACAGTTGACACTTCATTATGGTCCATGTCAGGACGTCAGAGAAAAAAGTGAGTCTGGAGGCCGCATCCGGCTGAGAGCGCAGGCTGTTGCCACAGTGGGGGGCTTCCAGTTAGGCCCAGAAACTACATTTGAGGATGAAAGCTCCAGACGGAATGGAGGAAAGGCCCTGGCCGGGACGTACACCTGGGTCCGTGCTGTGGAACTGCATGTACTGATGTGACTTATTGGGCACCTGCCGTGAGCCAAGCATGTTTTGGAGCCAGGATGTGGCGGTGGACAGGGCAGAGAGTGGCGTCTCCACTTCGTGGTGGGTAGAGCCGCACTGGTCCCTGACTGGCTTCCAGGGTTAGGAAGACACGTGACTTGTCTCCACCAAGCGAGGCGAGGCGGTGCCTTGGGGGGAGGGCTTCCTGGCATCTGCCCTACGTGCTGTGTGTCTGTCTGCTCAGCCTAAAGGGGGCAGAGGGTTGGGAGATGTGACCAAATAAATAGGGTTTTGATTGACATGAGTCACTGTGTTTCCCTTGTCAAGACCCCCTGCATGCCAATGGAGGCCTGTGTCGCCGAGAGTCCCAGGGCTCTGTGTCCTCTGCGGGGAGCCTGGACCTGGTGAGTCACTGTCTCCCCTTATCCCACAGGCTTCAGGCTCAGGGCTGTCCCCACCAGCTGACTGATGACACCTCTGCCCCACGGAAACCTGCGTTTACAAAACCCAGCGTTCACTTTGCAAAGCTGGGGGACGAGGCTCGGGTGCCGGCCCCGGCACAGTGGCTAAGTGCAGGGTGGCCCAGGGCCCCATCAGGCCCCAGCCTCATGGTCCCCCAGCCTAGGGCTCCTGAGAGGGCACGAAAAACTATTAGTTATACGAGGGAGGGAGTTCAAAGTATCTTTGGATTTATTTCTTAAGTCTTTTTGTTGTAATTTAGTTTTTGTGAACTCCCACTAAGAATCAACAGAAGGCGTCGAGAGCAGGCGCTCCGTGTCTCACCGCGTGAGCATCACACCCACTGCCGCACTGCAGGGTTTGCCCCTCTACCTGCGGGCCGCCTGTCTCCCGCACCCGCTCATGCCTGCTCGCTGCTTGGCTGGTGCTCTTCCTGGCCCCAGTTTCCAGCAGATGAGGGAGATGAGTGGGCGCAGGCAGGACTCGTGAGCTCATTAGATATTGTTTGATAGGAATTTTGGAAAACCTCACTGGTTGCCAGCATCCTAGTCATTTGAAATTTTCAGGCAGGAATGAATGTAGAATATAATTTCTTCTTCAGTTCCAAATAACATTGAAAGCTGTAAGGATTTACCAGGTGTCAGTTACCTCCTGCTGCCTAATACCTCCCCACCCCCAAACGCAGAGGCTGGAAGCAATTACTGTTGTGCTGGGTCTCTGGGTCAGCTTGGTTGTTCTGCCCATTCTGGCCAGCCTGGCCTGTGTGTTTCTGGTTACCTGGCACATGAGCCAGCTGGCTGGTCCCAGAGGCCCTCAGTTGCATGACTGGCCCTTGCTGGCCCTTGGCTGGAGCAGGAGCACTGACAGGACCCTTCATTTGCCTCACCCAGCAGGCCAGTTCACCCCATCCCACAGCTGTCTCAGGGACCCCAACAGTTAGCAGAGGAGGACGGCCTCTGCAGGCCCAGGCTTGGAGACGCTCCTTCTGCCCACTGAGGTCTGGGCTGGGGCTGATGCCACCTCTTCATGAGAGGAGCCACAAAGCCATATTACGAGGGGCACGGAGACAGGGAAGGGGATGGTTGGGCCATTTGTGCAGCCAACCTACCACTGTACAAACTAGTTTCCTGAAATAATGCTCAGGGAAAAGAGACTTCAGACTACCAGAAGGCAGTGATGATGAAGTAACAGTCCAGGCGAGGTTTACAATGGAAAGATGTGCTCGGGGAGCTGTGTATAGAGAGGATAGTGTGCTGGAACCCAGAGCCCCAGGAGGGAGTGGTCCTCACAGGGCAGCTTCAGTGGGCCCCGCAGGACGGCCCTGCTTCTGGGTGGAGAAGCCCAGATGTGCCTTCTAAGCAGAGCCGCGTCAGGTCCCATGCTGTCCTGAGCACAATGGCCAGTGAGGCCCAGAGCTGAGAGAATGATGACTGCTCTCCCGTGTTAATTCACAAAACCCAACGCCTCAGGCAGTGTGGACTGAGCCTGAGATGTGTGCACCTGGGGAGCTGCAGGTAGGACAGTGGCAGGGCACCAGCCTCCGCAGCACGTGAGGCCTGGGCCAGCTGGGCTGCTCTGGGAGATGCCCCACACCCCTGTGATGCTGGTGCCCGCTTGACTGCTTGTCTCCCCACTCCCCAGTCAGAGGCCTGCAGGACTTTGGCACCCGAAAAGGACAAGGCCACCAAGCACTGCTGCATTCATCTCCCGGATGGGACATCCTGCGTGGTGGCTGTCAAGGCGGGCTTCTCCATCAAAGACATCCTGTCTGGACTTTGTGAGCGGCATGGCATCAACGGGGCAGCCGCGGACCTCTTCCTGGTGGGCGGGGACAAGGTACGGGGCCCGCCTGACCCTCACGCTGCCCTCAGGCCATGGCCTCCCTGCTCCCTGGCCCCTAGCTTTGTGAGAGTCCTCAGGCTGTCCCCTCTTGCGCTCCTCATTTCAACAGTGCCTGGAGTGGAGGCTAGATTATCTGAACTATTTGCTGGGAGCACTTTGCATGCAGGTGCTAGGTTGGTGTGGAAAGAGTGATCACTTTCTTTGGATGGCTATTTCTGAAGCCGCTCTTTTGCTCTGCACAGCTATGCACCTGGGGCCCATTGTTCTGCCTTTCGGGGGTGCCTCTGTGCCCACACTGATTCTGGTCTTTGTTCCTCAGCCTCTGGTGCTGCACCAAGATAGCAGCATCCTGGAGTCAAGGGACCTGCGCCTAGAAAAGCGCACCTTGTTTCGGTAAGAGGAAGATCGCTGTCATTCACCTGAGGCTCCCAGAGCCAATCCCATGTGCCCACCACCTGCTGGTCTCTGCACTTAGCGGGTAGCCTGTCATGCTGGGCTACGATGGGGTGTCGGTGGGGATGGCGGGGAATGGAGGCCCACATGAGGCAGCCCCACTGCAAGCCCGGGGGTGAGAGGGGCCCTCTCCTTCCTGCCCCGTGAACAGGGACTGCCCTGGCCTGGTGAGCACAGCCCCCTAAGATGCCAAGAGGGAGGGGCAGGAGTGCTGTCCATAGGGCAGATGCCCCACAGGTAGCCAGGCTGCTCTGCAGGATGCTGCTGTCCCGGGAGGAGGAGGCCACAGCCCTTGCTTGGCCTGGCTTTTCCCACGTGGAGGAAGGCACTTTCTGATCAGCTGGGGCTGAACTGGTGCGGGGCACACCGAGGCCTTGAGGGCGGCCTGGGGCTGTGCTGTAGTTCTGCTCATGAGACTGATCTAATGAGAGCTGACATGAGTTTGTAGTGAATTTTTTCATCCCCCACCAGGCTGGATCTTGTTCCGATTAACCGGTCAGTGGGACTCAAGGCCAAGCCCACCAAGCCTGTCACGGAGGTGCTGCGTCCCGTCGTGGCCAAGTATGGCCTGGACCTCAGTGGCCTGCTGGTGAGGCTGGTGAGTGTTGCATGGGGCCCGGGCGTCATCACCACGGGAACTGTCTGTTCCCTTTGGCAGCCTCTGTGTTGTTCACTGAAGAGGGCACACCAAGAAGCGGTGTCTTCCCCTGATTTTGTTATCCCCCTTGGAGGAAAGGAAACAGCCTCTGCCATCCCCAGTTTTCATTCTGTTCAGTGGGAGCCATCATGGTTTATTTGTACCTTGGTCATTCCAAACAGAATTGATATTTGAGATGTGGTTGTGCTCCAGGGAGGCCAAAATGAGAAACGAACCAACCAACCCCCGGAATATCCCCCGCTGTTGGCAAATGTGATCAGATAAGAGAGTGCGGATGGCCCTGCCCCCACGGCACCTGCTGGGCCGGGCCGGGGCACTGTGCTGATGCCCCCAGGGCACGGTCACGTGGAAATGTCCTGATTCTCACCTGCACTTTGGAGATGGAAGAACTCAGCTGGCACTTCCAGACTGTACCGTTATGGTGTGAATGGGATGAAGAAAGAAAACACTGCCTGGGGTGGTGACAGCAGGCACTGGGCAGGCCATGTGAGACAGGGAGAGCTGGGCCCCGCTGAGCGTGCTCCAGAGCATGGGGGTTTAGGGGCACAGTGTCCGCCTAGTCTTCTTTCCTTGTCAACTTTATTGGAGCAATGATTTCAAGTATTTTCAGGATTTTAATTTTCCCTGAAACTACACTCAAAATTATTCAAGGACTTTGAAGTGAACAAGAAGAACTTATTAAATTATTTACAGATACCACCTTGAGGGTAACCGGAAACCTCTTTCCCGCACTGCAGGCTCCATCCTGGAGTCCAGAAATCTGCTGGTCAGAGGCAGACCTGGCCTGGCTCCCAGGTGTGCCCCTTTGGCCAACTCTGTGGAGATGCCACGCAATTACTTAGCCCCTGTGTGTTGCAGTTTCCCTGACTGTAAAGTGGGGTTGGTCGTGGCAGCATGCTCGTGGCATGGTTTGGGGGCGCCAGGGTGGAAGGGCTGGCTGTGGTCAGGCTGGTTGTCTGTGAGCTGCTGAGGGCTCCAGGCCAGGCAGGGTTTGGGCTGTGTGGGCTGTGGAGGATTTGTGTGGAATGGGTTGTTTGGGATGTGGCTTTTCCTCAGATGCTTTCTGCTGACTCTCCAGTGAATTCTGTGGCCCCCCTGTGCCCACGAATGTGGTGGAGAAGGCGGGACCTGGGGCAGCTCCTCTGCTTCCCCCCGCAAGGCCCACCGCGCCTGCCCAGCAGGCTGGCCCCTTCAGGAGCTTAGAGCCTCTCCCACCTGGCATTGGGCGGCTGTCATTCCCTGACTGACAGAGTGTGAATGCCAAACACGTTCAGGTGTCTTTTCTTAACAGTGATTATGGCAGGTGAAGAGTCAGATTCTCTGCCAGAGGAGAACTCACACAGACAAGAACTCCAGCCCTGTGGCTAGTGGCACTTCATTTCAGCCTCAGACCTGGTCCGAAAGTTGTCTGTCTTTGCTTCCTTGTTTACAAAGGAGAACATCTGCTCTCAGTGTTCCCCTCGTAGCAGTTTCCAGGGTCAGTGTTCCCCTCGTAGCAGAGTCCGAGGGTCAGTGAGTGGGTTCTTAGGGCGGCCACCATCGAGGTTGTGAGCAATGTGGAGACTTATACGGGCTTCACTTCCTATTTCCAAGTATTTTACATGCATTTTATAGCATTAGATGTGTGGGTGAAGGTGCTTCCAGTGTTGACATGTCACCCTGCCCCTGGGCCTTGGAGGGGCCGGTGTGGAAGGCACTGCCCACGCAGTTCCTCAGGGCACTTCTTACCCATGTCAGGAGCCCGGCTCAGCCCCAGCACGTGTGCCTCAGTCAGGCAGGCCTCACCTTAGGGCCATCTCCTGCATGATTCCATCAAGCCTAGGACAGTCACGCAGTCTGGTGGGATCACACACATCTGTTCCCTAAAGTTCCAATCTGGGTAAATTATTCAGTGCCCATCTGTGCCCTAGAGTGGAGAGAAGGAGCCCCTGGACCTTGGAGCCCCTATATCGAGTCTGGATGGACAGCGGGTTGTCTTGGAGGAGAAGGATCCTTCCAGAGGAAAGGGTGAGTAGGGCTGGCACAGCGGTTGGGGAGGGTGAGTGGGTCCAGTGCAGGGGAGAGTGCTATGGAGCCGGTGCAGGGGAGGGGGCAGGCGGGGCTGGTGCAGGGAAGAGGGTCAGTGGGGCCAGCGCAGGGGAGGGGCGGATGGGGCTTGCACAGAAGTGGGGGGCGGGTCCTGCACAGGGTAGAGGGTGAGTGGGGCCAGCGCAGGGGGGCTGTGGGGTTGGCGTAGAGGAGACAGTGAGCAGGGCTGGTGCAGGGGAGGGTGCTGTGAGGTTGGCATAGGGGAGAGGGCGAGCAGGGTCAGTGCAGGGGGTGCTGTGGGGTTGGCATAGGGGAGAGGGCAAGTGGGGCCAGTGCAGGCGGAGCTGTGGGGTTGGCATAGGGGAGAGGGTGAGTGGAGCCAGTGCAGGGGAGGAGGATGTGAAGTTGGCATAGGGGAGAGGGTGAGCAGGGCCGGTGCAGGGGAGAGGGATGTGGGGTTGGCATAGGGGAGAGTGTGAGCGGGGCCGGTGCAGGGGAGGGGGATGTGGGGTTGGCATAGGGGAGAGGGTGAGCGGGGCCGGTGCAGGAGAATGGGTGAGCGGGGCTGGTGCAGGAGAGAGGGCAGGTGGGGCCGGCCCAGGGGAGGGGGAGACTTTCGAGTCAGTACACAAAAGGGAAATGGTCTGGGTCGCTTGGTCCCTCCTCGGTACCCTGATCTGGCGCCCTTCCCTCCGGGCACAAAACAGGAAGCCAGGGCAGTAGACGGCTGTGCTCTGCCCAGCAAAGTGGAGGCTGCAGGCTCAGTCGTTTGGGCTGGTTCTGCATTTCCTTGTGTGCAGGGAATCAGGTGGTTGACAGAGCTCTTTTCCATGTGTTCCTTGGTCATGACAGTCCTGCCCTGGGGAAGCTGGGGTCCGGCCAGCAGCCTTCAGAGATGGGCTCGTCTCCCGGCCCCCACCTCATCCTGACGCGCAGGAGCCGGCCCTGCTTAGAGCCCTGGCTGAGAACCGTGCGTGAGGAAGGTCACTCGGACCCGGGAGGGTGGGTCCTGTTTGTAGCTGTCCCCAGGGACAGGCAGAGGCGTGGCCTTAGCGCCTGCAGGTGCAGGTGCCATAGGGAGCTGTGTCTCTTGGGATGAGCTTTCTCGAAACCCACCTGCAGACATTCTAGGTAGAGAGCTCACTTTGTGAGGAACCACTTCAGGTGACATTGGGCTGCCCCTCTGCTTTTCAGGTTGTTGGCCCTGATGATGTCATGCAGGGCATACGTGGCTCCCTTGTCCCCACCCAGGGAGACCTGGGCCATGGGTGCCAGTCAGAAGTAAGCGCTGAGGTTATTAGCCCTGGAGCTCCAACCCTTGCTTCTCTCCCCAGCTCCTCACAGAGCAGAGACCCTTCCCCTAGCCCACACTTTGCTCTAGGGAAAGCCTTGCCCCGGACCCTGACACCCAGGCAGGTGGGGCAGGCACAGCATGTGTAACCCAGCAGGGCGGCCAGCAGCTTTGCCCCAGCTGACCCTCGGAGCCTGTTTATGTACAGGCAAGGCCTGTGGTGGAGCTTGGCGCTCAGCACTTTTGTAGGGTTGTATGTGGGGCAGGAGCGTGACTCCTCCAGTCACATCTGGTTCAGAGAAAGGGGCTTGAGACCGTTAGTGCTGGCAGTGGCCAGCCTGTGGCCCTGATATGGGGCAAAGGCTGTATTTGAAAATATGTCACAGACTGGTGCAGTGGCTCAAGCCTGAAATCCCAGCATTTTGGGAGGCTGAGTCAGGCAGATCACCTGAGGTCAGGAGTTCAAAACCAGCCTGGCCAGCATGGTGAAACCTTGTCTCTACTAAAAATACAAAAATTATCTGGGCGTGGTGGTGCATGCCTGTAATCCCAGCTACTTGGGAGGCTGAGGCAGGAGAATTGCTTGAACCCGGGAGGCGGAGGTTGCAGTGAGCCGAGATCACGCCACTGCACTCCAGCCTGGGTGACAGAGTGAGACTGTCTCAAAAAAAGAAAAGAAAGTAAAAGAAAATATGTCATAAATATAAGACTCTGACTTTCTAAAGAATATTTATGCCAAATAGTATATGAAATGAGCTTTTCAATTTCAACATCACTCCTCCAGCAAGTCCTAGCAAGTCCCTAGTTAGATGTACAGAGCCCCGCTGTGCGCGTGGAGGACGGGTCCTCTCTCCTGTCCCGTGGGGCCTCCCCTCCGGGCTGTGCATGGTGAATAAGGGCAGCAGATGCCTTGTGGCTTCTCTACAGCTTTGCTCTTGGAGGCAGTAGCAGCAGGTTGTCTACGAAACATTCAGATGGATTTGCGAGTCCCTGAAATCATAAAGCTTTCTTATGTTTAGCATCCACAGATAAACAGAAAGGTGTGCCAGTCAAACAGAACATAGCTGTAAATTCCAGCTCCAGAAACCACTCGGCTACGGTAATTCCCCGCCCTCGCCCGCCCTGGGCCCCGCCCCTCTCGCTGTGGCCCTGCCTGCTCTGCGTAGTGCCCTGGCACTTTCCTCACCACCTGCTTATCACGTGCGTCTCCCCACGCTCCTTGGTGGGGCTCTCTGGTCCCTGCCGACGCCCAGCTCCCTCTTACCTGTCAAGGACTGGCTTTCTTCTGAGGTGGGAGTGGTTGTGCCTTAAATGCTATTCTTGTTTGTAATCTTTATCATTGCAATGGTTTTTCTGCAATGCATGTAAATTCTGTATCAATGCAATCTATTTCATGAGCCTTCTAATCTCTAACTAATGAATGATAAATTGTCGTGTATTGAAATGAAAGTAGAACTTTGACTTTCCTTCTAATGCAGGGAGAGGAAAGAACACTAGGCAAGTCTAATTCTATTAAAATAAAAGGAGAAAATGGAAAAAATGCTAGGGATCCCCGGCTTTCAAAGAGAGAAGAATCTATTGCAAAGATTGGGAAAAAAAAATATCAGAAAATTAATTTGGACGAAGCAGAGGGTATGTGAACTTTTTAAAACTTCCACGTTTTTAGTAAATGCACAGTTAGTTTCCAGTATAGTCCATAGATCTGCTCTGAGCTGTCAGCATCTGGGTGACTGCAGTCCGTCCCTGTGGCCTGGAAGACATGTTTCTCCTGGGGGCAGTCTGTGGGCTGTTGGGATCACTTCACCAAAACCCCAGTTTTGAGACTCAGTGCCAGGCCTCCTAGGGCGTCAGGGTCAGCCGATGTGAGCAGCACTGTCTGCCCTGAGACGCCAGAGGCCCCTGCAGGCTCCACCTCCCTCTCACCCCGGCTCCTTCCTATTGCCCCACCACTGGCTTGTGCCGGGGTCTCCAGCGTGGCTGGAGGCACAGTTAGCATTAGAGAGTCCACCCCAGATGGAGCTGGGCGCCCAGGTTAGGGGAGGCGGAGCACCCTGGCCTGGAAGGGCCGTGGGCTTGCTGAGCTCTGTTGGCCACGGGGATCAGTGAGGAAGGTCAGCCTGCACACCCCCAGCCTCCAGGAGAGGCGACAGGCACACTGGAAGACTGAGATGGAGAGATGAGTTCTTTCTTGAAGCTGCTTTTTCTCCAGAAGTTTATAACAAAGAGAAGCATTGAAAACAGAATCAAAACCAACAGCGGTCACTGTGACCTGAATTTCATCCAGGGCGTACTTGCCAGTCCACTTGGTTTGTCACAGCTTTGTCACAGCTGGCTGTGGAGTCCGACCTCACAGTAAAACTAAAACACACCTTCAGCCTTTGTCGGCCACCAGACACAAATCACACGCCCTCTTTGAAGCTTGTATGTTTCTGAGAACCAGTGAAATCAGAGATTTTAGATTCCTTGTAGTTGTTAAGAACTCAGAGTGTAATTCCAGTGCTAGAGAAAGCCCAGTTTAGATGCCATCTACCTCGAATGGTGGCCTTGGGGCCTGCTATACTAGAAAATCCAGCCCAGGTAAGAAAAGGAGAGTTCTGGAGGAGCCAGTGAAGAAGCTGGAGGCACCTGCAGGCCTCCACAGTGGGTGGGTTGTGGGGCACCTGTCCTGGCGCCTCGGGGCTGTGGAGCTTCAGCGGGGAGCGGGAGAGCACATGTTGCGCCCTCTACCCTGGGCTTGGGAGGACCACCCTCTGTGCAGAGGCAGTGACCCCGAGAGGCAGGCGTGGATTTGAGGGTTCCCCTTCCCAGACCACCCGTCTCAGAACCTTCCTCTCCTCCCCCTCCTTGGGTTCATCCTGCTCCCGACTTTGAGGACTGCAGCTGCAGCTGGGACTCAGGGGGGTGCCTCAGATGCTGACCAACCGGAGAAGGGGGCCAGTCCTCAGAGGGCCCCAGGTGTTAAATTGAAAGCCCAGGCCATAGAGTCCCACAGTATCCCACTCAGACAGCATCAGCGCATAACCGTGTTGAGTCGAGTGTCTCGTTTGTTCAAGTCTGTCTCGTTTGTTCAACTCACACAGCGTGGTTTTCAGGGAGTACACAGCGTTTTCAGACTCCTGAAGACAGAGTGTGCTAGAAGCCACAGGGGTCTCCCTTCCGCTGTCTGTGGGAAGATAGTGTGGACGGAAAAGGGCTCTTGTTGACCCACAGCCAATAGGGCATTAGGACAGCCCAGGATGAGAGCTTTCTAGAATGTTCTGCTGTGATGGGCATTAATGTGAAACTCTCTAAAACATGGTCACTTTGGGTTTTCTTCCAATAGAGTTTTTTGAGCTTATTTCCAAAGCTCAGAGCAACAGAGCAGATGACCAACGTGGGCTGCTAAGGAAGGAAGACCTGGTGTTGCCAGAGTTCCTCCGTTTACCTCCTGGTTCCACAGAACTCACCCTCCCCACTGCAGCTGCCATGGCCAAGGGCTTTAGCAAGAGAAGCGCCACAGGCAACGGCCGGGAGAGTGCCTCCCAGCCCAGCGAGCAGTGGGAGCCAGCCCAGGAGAGCAGCGACAGCCCATCCACCAGCCCGGGCTCAGTCCCCAGCCCCCCTGGGCCTCCCGGGATGACCCCCTCCGGGCAGAAGTCTCCCAGCGGGTCCTTCTGCACTCCCCAGTCTCCCGTCTCCCTCGCGCAGGAGGGCACCACGCAGATCTGGAAGAGGCAGTCTCGGGAAGTGGAGGCCGGGGCCATCCAGACGGTGGAGGATGAGCACGTGGCCGAGCTGACCCTGATGGGGGAGGGGGACATCAGCAGCCCCAGCAGCACCTTGCTGCCGCCACCCTCCGCCCCCCAGGACGTGCCAGGACCTTCCAGACCAGGTACCTCCAGGTTCTGATCCCTCTACCTTGGCCCCATCAGCGTGGTCTGCTCAGCTTCCAGTCAGAAGGACAGCGGGCCCCCGGCTACCACTGTTTGCTGGTGGTCTCTGTGGCCCCTCCTCACCTGCTGATTGGGGTCTTCCTTGGCCCTCTTGGAAAGCAGGAGCTTGTGTGGCCCCAGGCCAGTGTCTGTCAGGATGGTCCCCCCGAGGCGCTCCAGGCAGGCATCCTGGTGTCCTGAGAGGCTCTTGCAGGAGTGATGCGTGGCGGTGCCTGCAGCCAGGTCTGGGAACACCCTGGGCGAGGCCTGGGGGTTTCTGAAAATGGAGGCATTCCTTTCCAAATCTGGACAGCTACCATTTTTAGTGTTTCTGTCTCAAGACTGGAAAACAATAGCATTTGTCTTGAGTGAGGAAGTGAAGCCCTCTGTGTTCATAGCAGGAGAGGGCTCCGAGACACAGGCCCGTCCTCGGGAGAGCCTTGAGAGTGCAGCTCGGATGCACCGGCACCCCCATAGCAGGTGGTGTGGGTGCTCCGGAGCGGAGGTGACATCAGCTCCCTGACTGCGCGTGTCACAGGCATTGCTCCAAGGAAGCAGGGGTTTCAGTGGGTGTGAAGTGAACAGGATGGCCTGGCAGGCAGCAGGGATATTTCCAGGAGCCACAAATACCAGAAACTGAGGCGAGGCTCCCAGCAGCCAGCAGGGAAAGGTATTTCCAGGGGTCCGAGGGCCGTGGCCTCTGTGGCCTGCGTGGCCGTCCCCTGGAGAGAGGAGCTGCTCAGGGTGTGTGTCATGGAGCGTGCTCAGGGGTGCGTGGACACCTCTGCTGTGGTTTGCTGCTGGGGGCGAAGGGAGAGCCTCTCCGTCCTGCCCCGGTCCGGGATGCTGATGGCAGTGAGAGGCGTGCCACAGGGTTGGTTTTGTCAGGCCTATAGCCTGGACCTCGCCGGGGGACCAGGGTGTGCACGTCTGTAGATCTGTACATATCTGGGCCTTTGGAGGCCACATGTGGTGTGGGAGGGGCTCCCTGGCCCCTTTCCCAGCCAGGACATGCCTGGATGAGAAAGCCTGAGGTGCCCAGCATTCCCACCGGTGCCACTCTGCAGCCTCCGCCCCTGGCCTGAGTCCCCTCCACCCGTCTCGGTGGACACCCGTGTGGCTCTCACCTGCGTTTTGAGTCTGTTCTTCCAGGAGTAATAAATTCTGGACATCATCACTGGACTGGCTTACAACTTTTCTTTCTCATTTGAAACTTGGTTTTCACTTCAGAAAATAATAAAAGTATGTTAATCTAGGGGAAATATTACACATTTTTAGGAGATTAAGTGGATTTACCTTAATCTACTGGCTTTAAAAAATATACCATCCACTGAACAAAACTCTTGAGCGCCTGGTGTGCTCCCAACAGCACAGCCATGCGGCGGGATGGCAGAAGGGCTGGTGGCCCTGTGGGCGGGTGCTGAGATGAGCTGGCCCGCTGGCCCTCGGGCTGCAGTCCTGCACCCGCACCCCGGCCACGCAGCCCTGGGACTGTGGCTGGCTCTGTGCACAGGTGTGGCATGTGTTGGGCTGCCTGGGAGGGCCAGACAGACCCATGTTGGGGGTTAGTTCTTCTGCCTGCCAAGGGCCATTAGCACGGAGGTGGTTTGCAGTGCAGGCCCAGCCAAGCACCCCAGCTGATGGTTTACAGTGCAGGGCCCAGCCTAGACGTCCCTGACACGTTTGTGGCAGGAGGGTGGGTGGTACCGGCCTTGGGAGCAGCAGGTCCCCCTGCACTCTGGTGGCTGCCCCTGACTGCCACTGGCCAGAACTGGTTCCCTGCCCTGCTGGCTCCTCAGCCCCTGGGCAGGTGGGTACCCTGGACCCTTGGCTCTTGGGCTCTGTCCTAGGAGGAGAGCCAGTGGGAGAAGGAGGTGGGAGTGACCTTGGCCGTAGGTCCTAGGTCTGTGTCCTCCACATGGCTGTCCCTGGCGACACAGGACAACTGCTGAGGACCTGCCCAGTCTTTCTGGTGGTGCTGGCTCTGGTCTGCTGGGGGCCTTGGGACGGAAACTGCTCTGTGCAGCTTGCTTTCTGGAACCCCTGCTCTAATGGGATTCTCTGTATTGGAGAGTTCGCCCGCCCATGGCGGCAAAGGAAACAGGCTGTGAACACCATGGTGGCCTGATGGAACTTCTTTCACGTCTGTGGGCCGGGGCGAGCCTGGACTGAGTGCTGAGCCGTCCATTGTCAGGGTTTAGGAGCTTGGGGGTCATCGCGGGCCAAGCTCTCCGACGCTGACAGTTGCTGTGGGATGCTTCCTCACAATGTGGCAGCCACCCTGGACCCAGTGTCCGGGGTGAGAAACACAACAGGAGGTGCAGCCAAGCCCACAGGCTCCCGCCCTTCCCGTTGTCACAGTGGGCAGCATGCCAGCTACGTGTGGGGGCTGCCAGCAATAGCCCTGAGGTAGGGGGAGTCACCACAGAGCTGTGCTGTGCCACCCTGCCCTTCCAGCTTCAGTGCCACGCACTGTGCCACCCTGTCCTAGTCCCAGTGCCACGTGCCACACCACCCCATCCTAGCCCCAGCGCCACGTGCCACACCACCCTGTTCTAGCCTCAGCACCACGTGGTGCGCCACCCCACCCTTCTAACCTCAGTATCACACACCGCACTGCCCCGTCCTTCTAACTTTCCTTTAACCTCCCAGTATCACACACCGCACTGCCGCCCTTCTAACCTCAGTATCACCACCGCACTGCCCGTCTTCTAACCTCAGTATCACACCGCTGCCGCCCTTCTAACCTCAGTATCACACACCGCACTGCCCCGTCCTTCTAACCTCAGTGTCACACACTTGCCCGTCGCTAGCCTCAGTGTCACACCTTTGCCCCCGTCCTTTCCAGCCTCAGTGTCACACACCGCACTGCCGCCCTTCTAGCCTCAGTGTCACACACACACTTTGCCGCCCTTCTAACCTCCCAGTATCACACCAGCCGCCCCTTCTAACCTCAGTATCACACACCGCACGGCCCCGTCCTTCCCTAACCTCAGTATCTCACACACTGCCGTCCTTCCTAACCTCAGCTATCACACACTTACCGTCGCTAACACTCAGTATCCCACACCGCCACGGCCCCCTTCTAACTCAGTATCACACACGCACTGCCCGTCCTTCTAACCTCTGAAAGTATCACACACTTTCACTTCGTCCTTCTAACCTCAGTATCACACACACACCGCACTGCTGCCACCATCGCCCCTGTGCCTCAGTATCACACACGCACTGCCGCCAGCCTACCTCAGTATCACACACACACATACGGCCCCACGCCTTCTAACCTCAGTATACCACACACACTGCCGCCCTTCCAACCTCAGTATCACACACACACACTGCCCCGTCCTTCAACCTCAGTGTCACACACCGCGCACTGCCCCGTCCTTCCAACCTCAGTGTCACACCCGCACTGCCCTCCTTCCCAGCCTCAGTGTCACACACACTGCCACTTCCCAACCTCCCAGTGTCACACACACGCACTGCCCGTCCTTCTAACCTCAGTATCACACACTGCCCCGTCCTTCCTAACCTCAGTATCACACACCGCACTGCCCCGCCTTCTAACCTCAGTATCCCCTGCGCACCCCGTCCTTCTAACCTCAGTATCCACACACCACTGCCCGTCCTTCAACCTCAGTGTCACACACACACTTTGCCCCATCCTTCAACCACCTCGTGTACACCTTTTACCCGTCCTTCTAACACTCAGTATCACACACACTTTTCACCGTTCTTCTAACCTCAGTGTCACACCACACTGCCCCAGCCTTCTAGCAGCCACAGCTGCGCCCGTGGCACTCCACCCCCGCGTCTGTCAACTGCCCCGTCCTTCTAACCTCAGTATCACACACCGCACTGCCCCGTTCTTCTAACCTCAGTGTCACACACCACACTGCCCCAGCCTTCTAGCCCCAGCGCCACACGCCACGTGGCACTCCACCCCGTCTGTCTAGCCCCAGCACCACGCACCGAGACCCGTCAGGCCCTGCAGGCCGGCCAGTGCCCCCATGCGTGTCTGGTCCCCAGTGGCACGCAGGTGGGTCTCCTTTCCCGTTGGCCACTTGCTGCCAGACCGCCCAGTCTAATGGCCCTGAGCGTTAGCGATCTGACACACACAACAGAGGCTGCAAGTGGGAGAAGTGCCAGGCCCCTCGCGAGGCTCCAGGGCACGCTGACGGGTGTGTGTGTCCACACAATGCTTTGTGTATGAGTCCGTTCTCCTGCTGCTATGAAGAAATACCCGAGACTGGGTAATTTATGAAGAAAAGAGATTTAATTGACTCACAATTCCACATGGCTGGGGAGGCCTCAGGAAACTTATAGTCATGGCTGAAGGCACCTCTTCACAGGGCAGCAGGAGAGAGAATGAGAGCCAGCAGGGGAAATGCCAGACGCTCATAAAACCATCAGCTCTCCTGAAACTCACTATCATGAGAACAGCATCAGGGAAGCCACCCCCAGGATCCAGTTTCCCTCTACCTGGTCCCACCCTTGACGCCTGGGGATTATCACAATTCACGGTGAGATTTGGGTGGGGACACGGAGCCAAACCATATCAGTGTGTCAGGCAGATATGCCCACATGCGTGCATACCTGGTGTGTGTTCCTGTGGCATGTGTCGGCGTGTGCACCTGCCATGTGTCTGCATGGCACATGTTTTGTGCATATCTGTGTCTTGACACAGGAACCCTCCAAAATGCTCACCTTCCGTTCTCGTGGGGAGGGAGCAGATGTCCCTCCAGCACTGCTGCGTCCCGCCTTTAGTCATCTTCCATCCCTGCACCGAAGCAGACGTCTGCGCTTTGTGCTTTCACAAAGGAGAGAGGCATTCAAAAGGTCACGTGCACCCACACCCGAGTTTGCAACACGCAGTGCTCCTTCCATACGCGCAGTCTTAAAACGGGTTCTGACGGTCGTGTTGGTAATAATTCCCAATGGTCTTCTTAACCAGATCTGCTTGGTTTCCAGCACCAAGCCTGGGAGCTGGGTGGTCTCACTGCTGCCCAGCTGGCTGCAAAGCCACAATCAGGGGTCCCGGCCAGGGACTGGAGGCCAGTGGCTCCTCCCAGCCCCTTTGGTAAGGCTGAGTGCCCAGCCCCATGGCCAGGCTGAGCTCCTGGTGCAGACGTCCCAAAAGGACGGACTCCACCTGCTAGCAGAGAGCTGCTAGGCACCGCCTCAGGAGGGGTCCCCACATAACTGTCCTGGGACTGGAGTCCCCTGGGGCAGCTTACTGGGTGGGGGCAGGGGTCACTCAACCTGGAGGCGCCAGTGTCCCTAAGGGACACATTTGGGCCCAGTGGCTGCTCTCAGGGCACCTGGAGCTCAGCTACCCACCAGGTGTGCGATACTTGCTTGCTGGGGCTTCTGCAGCCTGGAAGTGAGGTCACACCCCTCACCCTGGGGGTGAAAGTACGCCCCGTGGCATGGCCACTGTGTTGTACCTGCTGAGGCCCGGGTGAGGATGCAGCCCCGCCTGGCTCCTGCTCTGTCCAGAGCCACTCCTGTGAGAGAGGCCTCCTCAGCAGCTCCTGTGCCCAGCCCTCCGCAGGAACAGATGCAGCTTAGATCCCCTCACTCTGATGTGGATTGAGAGCTCTGGCTTTCTTGGGGACACAGCCCCAGGAGCCTGCCACTGGTCTCAGGCCTGCAAAGCTGCTGAGGGCATCTGCTAGGTGTCTCTCCAGAGCCCCCTCTCCCCAGAGCACCTCCTGGCTCCTGCCCAGCTCCATGGCTCCCCAGGGGCTTCCTGAACTGACCAGCTGGCCTGGGCCCTCCTCCACAGCCCCTAGCCCGGTTGTGACACGTGGTCCTCCTGGATCCCACCACAAGCCACCCTAGGTTGCTCCCTCTCCTTCCCTGAAGTGTCTGCCCCACCTGAGTCTAGCCAGGTCTTGCAGAGTGGAAGTCTCAGGCCTGCAAGTGACCATGACCTGGCCCACCCTCATGTTCCCTCCAGGACTGGCCACCTCTGCCCATCTCAGCTGGTACTGCTGGAGCTCCAGCCTGCAGCCCCTCCCTGGGGTCTACCACATGCACTCCTGTGCCCTGAGTTATCCCTACTCCCCTATTCCCCACGCACCACACCATGCACCCTGCTGGGCGCTGTCCACTCCCTCGCCAGTGCCCAGCAAATATTTGAGGAGCTCTATCCCAGCCCCAGCCCATCACAGACACGGTCATGATCCTGGCTGGGGACCCACATGGACAGGGGGACCTTGGGGGGTCACACTCTGGAACTAGGGTTCTGGGGATACTCTCTTTCCCATGGGAGCCCATCAGCAGGAGTGCACAGGCCTCGGCAGGAGCCCGTGGGGGGCGCTGTGCTGGGAAGGCTGGGAGGAGAAGGGGCCTTGGGAGCCAGAGTGGATTGTGGGGTCCCCGCCTCTGGCTCCCCCTCGCTCCCCACTTCCTGCCATGTTCTCAGTGTGAGCCGGCTCAGCCATGCCTGGGTGTCCTTGTGCCCTGCAAGCTTCCAAGGGGCGCTGGGGAGGCTTAACAGGAGGTGACTGTGCTTGGCAGCACAGATGATTTGGAGCATGGAGGCAGAGGCTGAGCAAAGTGCCTGGAGGACGGGGTCCCTCTGGGGGCAGGAAGGGCAGTGGGATAGGTGCCAGGCCTGGGTCTCAAAGGAGAGCCTGGGAGGGCTCAGGCCACGCCCCTGCTCCCGCTGTGCCTGCTGGGGTTCCTGACTCAGCCTTGAGGACCAGGGTGGGGCAGGGGCCTGACCTCTGTGGCCCCAGGCCTAGGCCAGAGCAGCTGGCAGTGGCTGGCCAGAGACATTCATGGACAAATGTCTGGGAGGCCTGGGGGCGACCGGCAGCCGGTGAGGGGCCTGCCCATGCGGAAAGAGGGACCTTCCTGCTGCGTCTTGTGGGGTCTCCAGCAGGACCCCCTCCCGGAAAGGCTGGACAGCACGGTCGGAACCGGCAGGACCAGCCAGCTGAGAGCAGGAAGCCATGGGGCAACAGGGAGGGGAGAGGTTCACAGATGGCCCAAGCAGCAGGAAACGAGGTCCCAGTGTGGACTCAGGTCTGGATGTTTGGAGATGTGGCACCAGGAGTGAGACCAGGAGGCCAGGCCCCTCTGGAGGCGGCCCAGGCTCTGCTGGGTCCTCTGTGTCGCCATCCCTGCCAGGGAAACGCTGGGCAAGAAGGTGCTCCCTGGGCAGGCCCTGGCAAGCAGGTGGTGAGGCTGTGCACTGCTCAGGGCTGGGCCAGGTGGCTGAGTCACAGGCCTGGGGCTGGCTGCCCTGCACAGGAGGGCAAGGCTGGGTCCCGTAGGCAGGAAGGGCCTGGCTGTGGCCCCCTCCTTGTGATGTGGACGTCCTTGGTCCATACAGAGCTGTCCTATCTCCAGAAACAAGTGTTTCTCCCATCCTGAGCACGCTATCTGCCTGGGGCCCACAGGGGCCTGTCCTCCCATTTGTCCATGTGGGACTGGTGGGGAAGAGCCGGGCTTCTGGACACGTGTGGGGTCGCAGGCCCCTTCGGAGCCCGATGAACACTCCAGGCAAACGCCCAAATGCCCACGGGATTGATCGGCGAATGCAAACCCCTGCCTCTCCCCACACCTGTTACCTCCCAGCCCTGCAGCCTGGCATTCGGAGCCATGGGGACCTGGAGACAAGAAGGAGATGGGCAGAGCTGTTCCCTTGTCCCCCGGGGGCAAGGCTAACTCATAGCCCTGGCAGAACCTAGCAGGATACTTGTTGAATGAGCAGAGGCCTGATTGGGAGAAGTTTCTAGTCTCAGCTGCTCCACATGGACCCCTACGCCTCCAGACGGCATCTCCACCGGGCCTGGCTGAGTAAGACATACAGGCCCAACGAAGCTCCCACACACTGGCTGGGCACCCTGGTGCTGCTGCGTCAAGGCCAGGATGAGGGCCTCTGGGGCCACCGCTGGGGCCCGTTCCAGAGGACAGTCTGGGCACGCTCAAGAGGGGAGCCAAACCTTCCGCCCGCAGCCTGGACTTGTTCACAGATGCCTCATGGAGGCTGCTTCTGGAAGCTTGGACTGAGGGTGAGGTGGGGCACACTGGGGTTGAGGACCTTGGTGGCCACAGAGCCGCTGGAGCAGCAAGGACCCTGCGGCCTTCTCAGGGACCTCAGAACTGTAGATGGAGGAGGGTCTTCACCTTCCCAGGCCTTCGGTTCACCTGGGGAGGGCAGCAGTTGGTAGCAGGGACCCCCTGTCCCTGGTTCTTATCGGCCGAGGGCTGGCTCTCCCTGCAGCCTGTCTGCTGTGGGCCCAGGTCTGGTGCCCCTGCCACCCCATAGGCGCCTCAAGGCCTCCACTTTGGCATACATGTGACCGTCCCAGGGCCTCAGCCCCAGGCTCACTGGGGAAGGAAGCTCCTGGACCCTTGCCCAGGAGGCACGCTGGGCACACAGGAACCTGTCCCCGAAGCCCGCTCCTCTGGGTCGGTAATGTCACCCCCACTGTGCAGATGGGGAGGTGGAGTCACTGAGTGGGGAAGGGCTTCTGGGCTTTCCCAGCATGGGGCCTTCACTGCCCCTGCCCAGGCCCTGGGGTCCTGCCATGGAGCTCCGGGCGGCGCGTGAACCAACCTGCTCTGTGCGCACCGTTCACTTTCCTCGGCCCCACTCTGCGTTGGCCCCTGAGGACTCCACCCTGGCTTAGACATGACTCTGTCCTCCAGGGGTCCACGTGGAGGTCCCCGGATGTGGCACGGCAGTGACGCCCTGGGTAGGGAGGCCTCCCAGGGGTGCTGGCAAGGAGATGGCCTGCCCACATGGGGTCTAGAAGCTTCCAAGGCCGGTTCAGGCAGCCGGGATCTCCTGGGACTGGAGTGGGCATTGGAGCCAGAGGCACTGACCAGCCCAGAAGAGGGGCCTCAGCAGGGGGGCCAGGGATGAAGGGGGAGGGGACATGTCAGGCAGGCCCAGAGCAGGGTGTGTGCGGTGAAGACGGTGCTGAGGCAGCGAGCCAGGTGGGCGAGCAGGTGGCTAGCCTGGTAGAGTGGGATGGAGCAGCAGACGCAGGGCTCAGGGCCCGTTCCACCAGGCCAAGAGGGTCCAGCCTGTCTGGAACTGCTCCCACCTAGTGCTCGACCCCCTGGGGGTGGGCCCTGAGGATGGGCCCTGGGCCTGGGGGTGGGCACTGAGGATGGGCTCTGAGGATGGGCCCTGGGCCTGGGGGTGGGCCCTGAGGATGGGCCCTGGGCCTGGGGGTGGGTCCTGAGGACAGCCCCCAGGAGGAATTGGGGGGCAGTCGGGGTGGGGGCTCCACCGGGGGCCCAGCTCTGTTCCTGAGCTGCAGTAGGGAAGCAGGGTGGTGGGTTTCTGAGTGGATCGGCTCCCCCACTTGGTGGCAGGTGTTCTGTGGAGGACTCGGAACACTGCACCTCCCCTAGGCGCACCTGCCTCAGCCCGGAGGCCCACAGTGGGAGGCCAGCTGCCTCTGGGATGTGTTTGGGGTGTTTCAGGAACCCCTCCCATGCCCAGTGTCTGTACAGGGGCCTTCGGGGTCGGGGGTGGGTTCCGGGGGCCCAGGGCCGGGTCAGGCAAGTGACAGCTTCTCTTCTCCCTGTGACAGGAAGCGGGACCCACGGCAGCCGAGGCCTCCCGGTCAACAGAATCATCGACGTGGATCTTGTAACTGGCCTGGCGCCCGGGGAGGATGGTGGCATCTCGGGGGCACGGGCTGGCCCTGGGAGTTCGCAGGCCGGTGGTGGGCCTCCTACGTCAGACCTCCCTGGCCTGAGCCCCGTCCCAGGTGAGCCTGCGAAGCCCAAGGCCAGCGCGCACCACGCCACCTTCGTCTGAGCTGCCCTGGCCTGGCCAACTCTCCCGTGGACATGTCGGGGTGGGGCAGCCCCCGTGGATTCTGTGAGCCTCAGAGGGGCCACCGCAGCCACCAACACCCTCAGGAGCCAGGAGGGCAGGGGGTGACCTCGCTGGAGGCACTGGCCCCGGACATTCACCATGCTGGCCCTGGCCCCTGCTGCACAATAAAGCGTTTCTGAGGACCCGAGCGTCGGCCTCGTGCTGGGTGCTGGTGACACAGACTCATTCTCCGAGCACATCCCCAGGAGGTCGTGCAGGAGACAGAGGGGCCTGAGGAGGAGAAGTGCCCCAGGGTCAGGTCAAAGGGGCTTTGAGGAGAGGCACGCTTGACTCCTGGGGTCTGAGGGCCAGGACCAGATGGCAGAGACTGTGGCTCTCGCTGTCACGTGGGGACCCTAACCCGGCCTTGTTTAGCAGGGTGGTCTGAGGGCCTTTCTGGGGAGGGACCATGTAAACTGCAATTTGACGGCAGAGGAAGTCTAGAAAGAGCCCTGGGCCTGTGCCAAGGCCCTGGGGCTAAAAAGGGTCTGATTACGGAAAGGGAGCCAGGTGTGGCTGCTGGGGAGGCTGGGCCATGGGGGCTGGGTTGAGTTAGAAGAGGCGGGGCCATCCCCCAGGTTGCCTTGACGGAACCCCTAAAGCTGAATACCCTTGGTACAGGGTTGTCGGTGAGCTCCTCAGAGCATCCTAGAGGCCTGAGAGCACAGCCAGTCCCCGGGGCTGTTCTAGAAGCTTCCAGGGAGTGGATGCACCCCACTTAGTGGTGCTCTAGGAAGGAGGCTGGGGGACAGGTCGGAATGGAAGATGAAGACCAGTACCAGCTGTGTGCACCACCCACCACAGTGCCCACCGTGGCCCCAGGACCCACCACAGTGCCCACCAGGTCCCCCTGGACCCACCATAGTGCCCACCGTGCCCCCAGGACCCACCATGCCTCCATATCCATTGTGCCCCCAGGACCCACCACGAGCCCATATCCACCCTGCTCCCAGGGCCCACCGCGTCCCCACCTTCACCGTGCCCCCGGGACCCACCACGCCTCCCTCCACGTCCACTGTGCCCTCTGGGGCCCACGGTGTCAAGCTGGGTGGTCAGTGGGTGTCCATTTTCTCTCCCTTTGCACAGATAGGCAAATAGGGGGCAGAGAGAGGGGGTTTGGGGTATACAGGGAGGCAGCTTCAGCCCTCGCTGGTCTCCAGGCCACAGTGGTTCACTCACCCCTCCTCCCACCTCAGCAGCCCTGGGATGCAGCTGCTGACTCAGGGAACCCGCGGCACCGTGGCGGCTGCTCCAATATTGCAGAAGGGGTTCCTCAGGCAGCTCTGCCCACAGCCCCAAGTCACGAATTCCGTGACTCCAGCTCCATCTCCATCCGGGTGGCGGTGGCATCCCCATCCCAGGCCCCAGGGTACCTGGCCCAGGGTTGTGCTGTGGCCCGGGGCCGGGCTCCGGCTGCAGGGTCCAAGGAGGCAGACTTGGCCTGGACCATCCGGGTGGCGGTGGGGAGCCAGGGTTGGAAAGGTTTCTTGGAGGGGACTCCTGGGTCTGTCTGGGAGACGGGGAAGAAGGGACACTCTGAACATCACCAGGGGCTGCTGGGGGGCCCTGGCCACCCCCAGAGTCAGGATAGGCAGGTGGGACAGGGTCTTGGGTCATCATTTGCTGCACTCAGCCATTGCATGGCCCCTGTCCTCCCTGTGCCTGGCCTTTTGGCCAGCCCTGGGGCCACCGAGAGGAGGCAGCACCAAACCCTCCAGGAACCCCCAGTGCTGCCGTCTGTGGGACAGGGACAATGCCAGCCCCACCGCCACTGTCTGTGCTGTGCTGGGCACAGGGCTGGACACCTGCAAGGCTCAGCACCCGTAGCGGCTCTCATCATGGACAATTCACAGGCAGATGGTGGCCATCTCGGTGGCCTGCAGGGACTGGGAGCTGTGCCAGACCATCTAGGCCCCAACCTATCTGCATTATCCTGGAAGACTTCCTAGAGGAGGCTTCTAAGCTGAGGCCCAAGGACCATGTCAGGTCCAGGACTAGGACCAGTGCAGGCCGAGACCAGAGTGGGACAGCTGGGCTTCCAGGTAGGGTCAAAGAGAGGTGGGCAGCAGGTGTGGGGGCCAGGGGACTCAGGGACTTCCTCTCCGGCTGGGCCCGCCCGATGTGGGAGGCAGCCAGGGTTAATCATTTCTACAAAGCCTTGACCCCACCTGCCCTGGCCACTCTGCTCCCGCCTCCCGCTGCCTTCAGACCAGCTCAGGAGCCATGGGGCGCTGGGCCTGGGTCTCCAGCCCCTGTCCCTCCCTGGGGCTGGGCCCCTTCCTCCTCCTCCTCCTCCTCCTGCTGCTGCCGCGGGGGTCCCAGCCCCAGCCTGGCGGGGTGAGCACTGACCTTGTCGCAGTGCGACCAGAGGTTCCCTGTGGCTACTCAGGGTCCTTGGGAGGAGGCCAGAGGGAGGGTCACTGCCGAGCATCGGGGTTTGAGGGGCGGGGGGCCGAGCACCGGGGTTTGAGGGGTGGGGGGCCGCGCAGGGGGCTCAGGTTGAAAGCTGGCCCTCACGGGCCAGGTGGGTGCTGGGCTGGCCTGGAAGCTGGGGTCTGGGCTCACGGAGCCCTGCCTGGGGACTGTCATCCCTGTGCAGCCTGGCCTGGGCCCCTATGGGTCTGGGGGCTGCCCCCTCTCTCTGGGTCTCTGTCGGGTCTGGATGCATGAGGTTGAGGGAACCTCCGAGGGTCTCCTAGCTGCTCCCATCACCGAGAACTGACGTCAGGGTTTAAGCCTGGTGGGTAGCAGTGCCTGGGCTTGGGCAGTGACCCTGAGCAGGTGCTCAGTAGGGACCCAGGGTGGGGAAGGTGTCAGGGCCTGACTGAGGCCTCAGGGATGTCATGTGTCTTCCTGGAACCTGCTCCGAGATCTGGGGGCCCCAGTATGGAAACAAGCTCAGGGCTGTGACCTCCTGCCCGGCAGGACCTGAACATGAGGGTCCGTCCCACACTGACACCCTTTCTGCTCCTCCTAGAACCGTACGGAGTCCCCAGAACCTAATGCCACAGCGACCCCTGCGATCCCCACTATTCTGGTGACCTCTGAGACCCCAGCAACGAGTGCTCCAGAGGCAGAGGGACCCCAACGTGGGGGGCTCCCGCCCCTGCTCAGGGCAGTTGCCTCGAGCAGCAGCCCCCAGGCCCAAGGTGGGTCAGGTGGGCCTGGGTGGAGGTGTCGTGCTTCACCTTAGGGCTGGGTGGGAGGAGCAGGACTTCGGCTGGAGGTCCCCAGGGGCTCGGGTGCCCCTCAAGGGAGCCCTGACCCTGCCACCTGCTCCCCACAGCACTCACCGAGGACGGGAGGCCCTGCAGGTTCCCCTTCCGCTATGGGGGCCGCATGCTGCACGCCTGCACTTCGGAGGGCAGCGCCCACAGGAAGTGGTGGGTCCCGGCGGCCGGAGCACCCAAGCTGGGGTCACCGGCTGGCCCCACGCTGCTTACTTTTCTGGGAGCCGGGCACACAGTAGGCCCTCACCACGCAGCAGGCGGACCCAGTGAACCCAGACCCTCCAGGGTGGTGGGGTGGGGGGGGGGCCTCTGCCTGGGACCCCCATGCACACAGGTGTCGCCCCCAGGTGTGCCACAACTCACAACTACGACCGGGACAGGGCCTGGGGCTACTGTGTGGAGGCCACCCCGCCTCCGGGGGGCCCAGGTGGGTGCTGGGTCGGGGAGCCTGGGGTGGGCAGGGGGCGCTGGGCCCGGCCAGGGAGGCCGAAGGGAGGACGGGACAGATCCGGGCAGGAGTCCTGGCTGGAGGGGAGGAGAACAGGAGCTCCGGGGTTAACCCCAGTGGGTGCCACTTAGGGCCGGAGCCTCTCCCAGGCGGGACCTGCGTCTCACGGTGGCCGCGCGGCCATCACTGGAGCCAAGGCACCGCCTGGTGGTGAGGCCGGGCCCTGCAGCCACACAGACATGCCCTGGGCAGAGGACAGGTGGGCAGGGTCTGTGTGGTGCAGTGCCAGCCACCCTGCTCACACGGGTCCCGGACACATGGGAGGGGCTGCTGCCTGACAGTGTGGGTGTTGGGCTTCCAAGAAGCCACATGCACAGCTGGGTCAGTTACCCAAGTGCTGAGTAGGGGACGCTGGGAGGAAGCGGAGGTCTGTGCCCCTCCCAGGGACCTTGCACCCCGAGAGGCATTAGAGAGGGCCCCTTTGCTCTCAGAGCCCCTCACCAGGGCCTGATGGAGGCCTTGGCAAACAGGGGATGTCACAGAGGGACCCTGAGGCTCCCAGCCCGCCCCTCACGGCCCTTCCCGCATGTCCTCAGCTGCCCTGGATCCCTGTGCCTCCGGCCCCTGCCTCAATGGAGGCTCCTGCTCCAGTACCCAGGACTCCCAGTCCTACCACTGCAGCTGCCCCCGGGCCTTCACCGGCAAAGACTGCGGCACGGGTGAGCTGGGCCTCGGAGGTCCACAGGGGTCCAGGGGCCAGAGCGAGTTCCGGGAGGATGAGAGAACAAGTGGCTGCCTGAGTGCAGGGCAGGGGCCCTGCATGGGGACAGCGTGTGGCCAGGGTGTGAGGGCTTACTGTGCACCCCTCAGAGAAGTGCTTCGACGAGACCCGCTATGAGTACCTGGAGGGGGGCGACCACTGGGCCCGTGTGCGCCAGGGCCACGTGGAACAGTGCGAGTGCTTGGGGGGCCGGGCCCGGTGCGAAGGTACCCGACATACAGGTGCGCCATGGGGTGTGAGCCATGCCACTGACCCCTGATGGGTGTCCCTGTCCCCACCTGAGTGGGAGGAATGGCCTGAGGTCACCCAGAAATGAGGGACAAGGGGTGGACCCCAGCCCCGACTCCACTGCGTGGCCCCTGGCCCAGCTCCTTGACCCTGCCCCCAGCTTGCCTGAGCAGCCCTTGCCTGAATGGGGGCACCTGCCACCTGATTGTGGCCACCGGGACCACCGTGTGTGCCTGCCCACCAGGCTTTGCCGGGCGGCTCTGCAACATCGGTGAGTGCGTCAGCCCCCCTGGGTGCCCTGGGGCAGTGCCGGGTGGACCCCCCAGTGGGCTGGCCTCACTGCCCCTCTGCCCGCAGCGCCTGATGAGCGCTGCTTCTTGGGGAATGGCACTGGGTACCGCGGCGTGGCCAGCACCTCAGCCTCGGGCCTCGGCTGCCTGGCCTGGAACTCCGATCTACTCTACCAGGAGCTGCATGTGGACTCGGTGGGCACCGCGGCCCTGCTGGGCCTGGGCCCCCACGCCTACTGCCGGTCAGCACCACCCCACTCCAGGCCACCACACACGGGGCAGGCAGGGTTTGTCCTGGGGAGAGGCCCCCCGGCTCCCTAGGACCCAGGCGGGGCCAGCTCCATCCAGACAGGCCCCGGTACCTCTGCTTGGGAGGCTGCCCGAGGGAGGGCCGCGCTCTTCCCACTGCCCCAGGTGTGGGAAGCCGCCCTGCTGGGGGCTCCGATGCCCCCTCCCCATGCCCTCTTGGCAGGCAGTGTGACTCCCCGCCAGCCCCCGCTCGTGCACCACAGGAATCCAGACAGTGATGAGAGGCCCTGGTGCTACGTGGTGAAGGACAGCGCGCTCTCCTGGGAGTACTGCCGCCTGGAGGCCTGCGGTGCGCGGCTGGCGGGGGAGGCTGCCTCGGGCCCCACCGAGGTCACGGCAGTTTTCCCCGTGACCCTCCTAGCCCCTCCCCACTCCTGGCTACTGCACCTCTGACAGATGGGGACACTGAAGCTCACAGGAAGGCTGGTCCGAGGTCACGCGGTGGGTCGGTACTGGGGTCACAGTGGGGAAGCAGAGCCCGCTGCAGGGGACTGGTCACCAGGCGACGGCCTCGGGGTGGCACCTGCCCAGCCTGCACCATGCCCAGGATGGCCCCAGAGGCCTCTCAGGGAGGTGCAGGAAGGAGAGTGTGCAGGCTCCGCACAAGCACCCCTGGCATCAGACCCCGGGCGGGCAGCCCCCTAGAGGCCACCTGCTTCCTGCCGTGGGGAGAGGCCCCCGGCTCCCTAGGACCCAGGTGGGGCCAGCCTGGGGCTCTCATATGGGGGTATCTGGCCGTGCTGGGGCTGGCTGTGGGGTTCCAGGCTGCTGAGGCGATGACAAAGGCCTCTGTGTGTCCAGCCACTCTGGCCCTCACAGAGCCTCGGGATTGGGCACCGAACCCCATTCTACAGATTTGGAAACTGAGGGCAGAGGTGGGCGGGCGCCAGGGCCTGAGCAGCATGGACAGGGGGTCCAGCCATGGCCCTCTGCAGCGCCTCCTGCCAGGTAGGGCCACTGTGTGGAAGGGGGCCTGCCCTGCGAACCCCAGGGGTGTGACCCGGTGCCCTTTGCTCCCAGAATCCCTCACCAGAATCCAACTGGCACCAGATATCCTGGCAACCCTGCCTGAGCCAGCCTCCCCGGGACGCCAGTCCTGCGGCAGGAGGCATAAGAAGAGGACGTTCCTGCGGCCACGCATCATTGGCGGCTCCTCCTCGCTGCCCGGCTCACACCCCTGGCTGGCCGCCATCTACATCGGGAACAGCTTCTGCGCTGGGAGCCTGGTCCACACCTGCTGGGTGGTGTCGGCCGCCCACTGCTTCTCCCACAGGTGCACCTCCTCTGGGCCCCAGTCACCTGCCCTGAGGCCCCGAACGCCGTCCAGCATCACCATGCGCCTGTCCCCACCGTTTGCAGACCCCATCCCGGTGCCTCCGCTGACTCCTTGCAGGGGTCCCCGGTCACCCCCTCTGACCCCTCTGGAACTAGGGGCTCAGCCCTGAGCTGGGCATGCTGGAGACTCCAGAAACCCTGTCCCTATTAAGGGTGCCCAGGGGTCGGGGCGTTTCCACAGAGGAGGGTGCGGTGGGCAAGGTCCTGTCCTCCCCACAGGCACTGCCCCTCCCAGAGTCCTGGCTCTCAGAAGGGAGCCAGGGAGAGCAGTGACAACGCCTCAGAGCCCTAGGAGCCCAAGCACAGCCAGGGAAACCAAGGCACAGCCCACTCAGCCAGCTCCCTCAGTGGGGGCGCACAGCCACCCAGGCCCACACTCTGGGAGGCCTCAAGTGGGGAGACCCTGAGATGGAGCAGCCTGGGTCAGACGCCCTTCCACCTTCGATGGGCACCCCGGTAATTAGGGGCAGAGGTCTGGCCAGCTGAGTGTCTGGTGGCCTTTCAAGGACCACAGTTCCCAGGGTGGGGCCCTGCGTGGCCCTGCAGGCGGCTCCTGGGCCTGCAAATGGGGCCAGAGCCCTCCTCAGTGTGGAGAAATGGGGTTCCCCACATGGAGCCCAGGGCAGGAGGCTGAGGCAGGATGGAGCGACCTCCACACGGCAGATGGGAGCCAGGCTGACCCAGGGGCCCAGGCTCTGTGCTCAGCAGGAGTGAGGGCTGCATCTGGAGACCCCACAATGTGGATGGAAGCTGGGGCAGGGCCCTAGCAGGCCAGGTCTCCACCTACTTGGGTCCAGCCTTGCAGCCGACCCTGCCTGGGCCTGGCCTGAGACTCCCCCCAGGGCTTGTGACCAGTGTTGTCAGGAGGGATGGCACTGCACTTCAGCTCCCATGCCCAGATCTGGGGGTGACTGGCCATAGCCCCTGCTTGGTGACCCCTGTCTCCCCAATATCAACAGCCCACACCCAGGCACCTGCTCAGACCTCTCCCCGGGACCAGGACCCCACACCATTGGCCTCCGTAGGCCGGGTCGGGGGTCGGGGGAGTTGACCCTGGTGGCCAGGGGGGGCTGGTCCATGCACCCGCCAGCCTCCCTTGCACAGTCCCCCCAGGGAAAGCGTCTCAGTGGTGCTGGGCCAGCACTTCTTCAACCGCACGACGGACGTGACGCAGACCTTCGGCATCGAGAAGTACATCCCCTACACTCTGTACTCGGTGTTCAGCCCCAGCGACCACGACCTCGGTGAGCTCCAGGGCATCGCGGCCGCACTCCGGGCAGGTGGGCCCTGTGCCCCCCAGGCCAGGCCCGGACAGGGGCAGGAGCTGGGCAGACATGTGCAGGGAAGCTGGGACAGGGCAGGGAAGACAGGGCACCTCTCCCTTCTGGATCTCCCAGGCGCCCCATGGGACCCACTAGCTGCCCTCCCTCCATCACGCGCCCCGACAGCCTCCCGTTCAGCCCGCACACCACAGGCTGACCCTGGCCGCTCTCCCGATCAGTCCTGATCCGGCTGAAGAAGAAAGGGGACCGCTGTGCCACACGCTCACAGTTCGTGCAGCCCATCTGCCTGCCCGAGCCCGGCAGCACCTTCCCTGCCGGACACAAGTGCCAGATTGCGGGCTGGGGCCACCTGGACGAGAGTGAGTTGGGAGGAGGCACCCAGCGCCCCGCCAGGGTGGACAGTGGCCAGCCACTGTGTGCATGTCATGCTGAGGGCATCATGTCCCACAGACGTGAGCGGCTACTCCAGCTCCCTGCGGGAGGCCCTGGTCCCCCTGGTCGCCGACCACAAGTGCAGCAATCCTGACGTCTATGGCGCCGACATCAGCCCCAACATGCTCTGTGCCGGCTACTTTGACTGCAAGTCCGACGCCTGCCAGGTGAGCTGGTGCCCGCCCCACCAGGACCCGATTGCTGGGGCTCAGCTGGTCCTGAGTCTCCGAGATGCTTGCCCCTGGGGAGCCCAGAGCCCGGCAGCACCCCAATCTGGCAGGGCCAGCCAGGGACCCCTGGGCAGGGAGCACACTCACGGTCGGTGGCCAGCACCCCAGGTCACCCAGACCCCTGCCGGAAGGGTGTCCTCCTCACACAGAAGGGGAGACCCAGGCTCTGAGAGGGGCCTGGGGTCCCACAGAGCCCGGACAGATCCCGGCCGTGCAGCCCAAGGCAGTGCTGTCCGTGTGACACCAGGCACCAAAGGCCCCTTTGCCCTGAGTTCTCTCAAGCCAGCTCTTCAACCTTCAGTAATCCCAGCAGCCCAACCACGTCCTGGGCTCTGCAGGGCTGTGCGCTCAGGCGGCACGGCAACCCTGGTATGCAACAGCTCTTTTATGCCCCATTTTATATAGAGCTGGGAAGACTGAGTCCCAGGCAGTCAATTCACTCTTCCAAGGCCACAAAGCCCAGAAGCAGTAGAGTGGGTGGGGCTTGTCACTGGACCAGGCTAGGGGAAGTCAGGATGGCTTCCTGGAGGAGGGGGTGTTTGCACTGGTCCTGAGGGATGCGTAGGAGTTTGCCAGGGAGTGAAGAAGTCATTTCAGGAGGTGCTGGGACACAGGGTGGCTGTGTGGTCCACACGGGCTACGTGCTGGTGGGGAGAGGGGGACCATGGCTTCAGGAAGGGGAATAACGTGGTTGGAGGCCCTGGCCCAGCCAGTGCTGCCCCCAGGGAATGAGACACCTTTTCACGAGGTTCAGAAGAGCGGACCAGCTCCCTTGCTCAGAAACGCCTTTGTCCTCTGTCCCCGAGCTGCCACCGGGGGAGCATGGGGGTCCCTGAACCAGGCCCCTGGGAGAGTGGCTCTGACGGGCATCTCTGCCTAGGGGGACTCAGGGGGGCCCCTGGCCTGCGAGAAGAACGGCGTGGCCTACCTCTACGGCATCATCAGCTGGGGCGATGGCTGCGGGCGGCTCCACAAGCCAGGGGTCTACACTCGTGTGACCAACTATGTGGACTGGATCAACGACCGGATACGGCCTCCCAGGCGGCTTGTGGCTCCCTCCTGACCCTCCAGCGGGGCACCCTGGTTCCCACCGTTCCCTGCCTTGCTGACAATAAAGATATTTCCAAGAACCCAGCCCATGCTGCCTGGCCCCTGCCTGCGGACCCACTTTCCCCTCCAGGCCATGACTGGGGCCCAGGTCTATTCGGCAGACCTCAGGCTGCTGTCCTGGAGCCCACGCAGACCTCAGTGGAGATGGAGCCTGTGGCCCCACAGGGGGATCTGGCCCCACAGCCCAGAGAGTTGTCAGAGGATCAGGTCTGGGCTTCTCCAGGCCCCGGCAGAGTCCAGCCCTCTCCCAGGCCAGCCCCAGGCTGGGGCTCAGCACCCAGGTTGTCCCAGGGCAGGAAGCGGAAACCAAGTCCAGGCCCCCAGGCCATGGAGGGGTCTGATCCATGTGGTGCACGGAGTATTGAAACCTGAAGGAGAGAGGCCCCATGGGAACACCCGCAGGCCCCACTGGCCTTCCAGATGGCAGCCCGCCTGGCCGAGCCTCTGCTGCACTTCCCGGGGAGGAGGCTGCAGGCTGCCTCTGAGGGGGCTGAGGGAGGGAGGGGCCGACATGCCAGATGGGGCCCAGTTAGAGTCACCGCTGGGCTGGCAGAGGCCGCACCCTCCCTCCAGCCAGGGAGGACAGGAGACAGAAGGAGGTGAGGCCAGAGGGCAGAGAGGGCAGGAGTGTGGTGGGTCGGGGGCAGGTCTCCTCCCTGCTCCGAAACCCCCAGGACCTTCTCTCCTGGACCCCACCTCCTTCCTGGAGTCCTGGTCTCAGGGAGGCTGTGGTTTGCGTTACAGCTGCTCCCTTTTGTCAGGCGCCCCTTCCCCAGCAGACTGGCACCGCCCTGGGCTGCACAGGAGGCTGGGAGGGCAGGAAACGGGGCATCCGGGCTACACAGTTATTGCCCCAATGAAAGCCAGGTTCTGAGCAAAGAGGGAAGAGAGACACAGCCAGGCCCTTCTCCCCACGGCCCCTGCTGCCCTGCGTGGGCCTCGGAGCCTTCGAGCTCATGGAGCGAACCCGCCACTGAAGACCCCTGTCCCGGCCACAGTGTTGGTGGCAGCCTGGACAGCGGCTGGGGGACTGAGGCTGGTGCCCGTGCCCCAGGATCCTGAGAGTGGAGCCGCTCCTCCTCCTGAGAGTGGAGGCCTCCATCAGCTGGTTCTTGGGCTGTGAACTGCATGGCTTCAGCCCCACCTCACCCACATCCGATGTGAGCCATCCCTGATCCTTCACCTGTGAGCGGCGAGCGTTTTCCCATGATTCTTTGGCCTCTGTTGAGATAAATGTCCACATTTTCTCTTTGGCTCCACTAACATGATGGCTTCCGTGATAGGTTTCCTTCCTTCTTTTCTTCCTTCCTTCCTTCCTCCCTCCCTCCCTCCTTCCCTCTGCCACTCCTTCCTTCCTTCCTTCCTACCTTCCTTCCTTCCTCCCTCCCCCACTCCTTCCTTCCTCCCTCCCTCCCCCACTCCTTCCTTCCTTCCTTCCTCCCTCCCTACCCCCCACTCCTTCCTTCCTTCCTCCCTTCCTTCCTTCCTTCCTTCCTTCCTCCCTCCCTCCCCCACTCCTTCCTTCCCTCCCTCGCTCCCTTTTTTCTTTCTTCTTTCTTTCTTTCTTTCTTTCTTTCTTTCTTTCTTTCTTTCTTTCTTTCTTTCTTTCTTTCTTTCTTTCTTTTCTTTCTTTCTTTCTTTCTCTCTCTCTCTCTTTCTTTTCTTTCTTCTTTCCTTTCTCTCTCTCTCTCTTTCTTTCTTTCTTTCCTCTTGTTTTTTTTGATAGGGTCTCACTCTGTCACCCAGCCTGGAGTGTAGTGGCGTGATCTCGGCTCACAGCAATCTCTGCCTCCTAGGCTCAAGCAATTCTTCTGCCTCATCCTTCCGAGTAGCTGGGATTATAGGCACCTGCTACCACGCCCAGCTAATTTTTGTATTTTTAGTAGAGATGGGGTTTCACCATGTTGCCCAGACTGGTCTTGAACTCCTAACTTTAAATGATCCACCCGACTCGGCCTCCCAAAGTGCTGTGATTACAGGCGTGAGCCACTGCGCCTGGCACATGATAGATTTTCTAACTCAGGTTGGCCTTTCATTCCTGGAGTGAATGGTATTGAGCTGGAGTGCGAGCTGGGGTCTTCCCTTTGCCCCTCCCACTTGTGCCCTGCTTGTTCCCCTTGTGCTCTGCCTGGTGAGGCTGACCTCTGTGGTCTGCAGTGGGCTGTGCATTCTGTTGTTTCTTGTTGGGCTATTGGGAGCTTCAGCAGGAGATCGGGTCAGGGGAGAGAGACTAGGCATGTATTTTCCTGGCTCCCTTTCTTTGGGGTCACCTCAGTGTTTCAGGTGGAATTATGTCCTAAAATTCATTTGATGGCTGGGCACAGTGGCTCACACCTGTCATCCCAGCACTTTGGGAGGCCCAGGTAGGAATTCAAGACCAGCCTGGGCAACGTGACAAAACCCAGTCTCTACAAAAAAATTCGCCAGGCATGGTGGCACGCACCTGTAGTCTCAGCTACTCAGGAGGCTGAAGGGGACGGATCACCTGAGCACCGGAGGTGGAGGTTGCTGTGAGCCGTGATCACGCCACTGCACTCCAGCCTGGGTACAGAGCAGGATCCTGTTTAATAAATAAATTAATTAATTCAGATGTTGAAGTCCTAACCCCTAGTAGCCCAGCATGGGACTGTATTTGGAGATAGAATGTTTAAAAAAGAAGTCAAGTTCAAATTAGGTCATTAGGATGGGCACTAACTCAACATGACTGGTGTCCTAATAAGAGGAGGAAATTTGGACTGTCCACCCAAAATAATCGAAAGGGTCAGAATCCAGTTTAAAAGAGCATATGCAGGCACGAAGCTGAAAATAGCCACTTGGGACACACAGACTCCAGAGGATTACGGCCAGTGCCCCAAAGCCAAAAAGTTAAGGTCTTGCTTATATAGGCAGAAAAGAAACAAATGTAACAGGGTTACAGTGTTTCCCATGCAAGGCTGGTTTATGAGTCACAGCAATTTGAATAATCACAGCTTCTTTTCCTTTTCCAATGTGAAAGGGTATATTAAACGTTCTGTCTTAGACCAGGCGGTGGCCAGTGAGGTCTCTGTGTAAGAGAAGTCAGAAGGGAGCAAATCTACAGTGAACAGTGAAGATCAACATGAAGAGGGAAGGGGTCTTCCCTGGTGTCCTGTAGTCATTTATAACATTTTACAAAACCATGTAGGTAAAGAAAAGGCTAATCTATAAATCAGAGGAACAAAGGTTACAGCTGCCTAAGCTACAGCTGCCTGTCATATGCAACTCAGGTCCTATAATCATGTTCCTTGAAAACGCAAAATAATTTAAAGTTCCAACAGCTTTGGTTTTGAATGGCTTCTTTTTACAGGACACAGACGTGTACAGCGGGAAGGCGATGGGAGAGTCCCCGGGAGAAGATGGCCGTCCATACACCAGGGCCAGAGGCTTGGAGCAGGTGTTCCCTTCCGGCCTCCAAGGGAGCCAAGCCTACTGCCACCTGCGTTTTGGACTTCTGGCTTCCAGAACTGCGAGGTGATAAGCTTCTCTTGTCGAAGGCTCCCAATCTGTGGTAGTTTATTATGGTCCCCGTAGCAAACAAATACCCTCAGGTTGGCTGCACCCTGGGACTGAAGGTCAGCGCTGCTCTGAAGATGTAAATGACTTTCTCCTTCTGAGGCTCCTGGGTCCACTCCCGCCATTGCCAGGATTCTGGAACTGGTGTGGCCCCTCCACCTTAACCAAGCCCAGGCTCCCAAGTTTCTGACTGTGATTGTCCACGTTTTGACCACAGCTTTGTATATAAAAACCCTTCTTGAACTGTTCCACCATGTATACCCCCCTATTGGTACCCTGACTGATACGTGCTGTATTGGTTTTTAAAAACTTTTTAAAATTTATGTTTTATTTAGGATTTTGCATGTATGTTTATGAGATTGGCCTGTAATTTTCCTTTCCTATATTCTCTGAATGACTGTTATCAAGGCTATCCCAGCCTTATAAAATAAGTTCTTCTTTTATCAATATTCACTGGAAAATTCTGTATATAGTTGGAAGGATCTATCCTTTGAAAGTTAAATGGAATTCACCCATAAAATTACCTGTCTTGGTGTTCTCTTTACAGGATTATATTTAACTACTGATTCAATATCTTTAATAGTTATGGGACTAGTTTTATTTCTTCTTGAGCCAGTGACAGGAGGTTATACTTTTATAAATTTATCTATCAGCCGAGTGTGAGGGCTCATGCCTGTAATCCCAGCACTTTGGGAGGCCGAGGCAGGTGGATTATAAGGTTAGGAGTTTGAGACCAGCCTGGCCAACATGGTGAAACCCCATCTCTACTAAAAATACAAAAATTAGCCGGGCATGGTGGCAGGTGTCTGTAATCCCAGCTACCTGGGAGGCTGAGGCAGGAGAATCACCTGAACCTGGGAGGTGAAGGTTGCAGTGAGCTGAGATCCTGCCACTGCACTCCAGCCTGGGCAACAGAGCAAGACTCTGTCTCATAGAAAAAGAAAAGAATTCATCTGTCTAATTTTTTTATATTCATTGACATGACATTGTTCCTAGTTGTGATGGTTAATATTAAGTGTCAACTTGACTGGGTTGAAGGATGTAAATTATTGTTTCTGAGTGTATCTGGGTGTTTCTGGGTGTTGCCAGAAGAGATTAACAGTTGAATCAGTGGACTGGGAGAGGAAGATGCACTTTTAGGAAGGTCCACTCTGATGTTTAGTACTGAGTGTCAACTCGATTGGATTGAAGGATGCAAAGTATTGATCCTGGGTGTGTCTGTGGGGATGCTGCCAAAAGAGATTAACATTTGAGCCAGTGGGCTGGGGAAGGCAGACACACTCTTAATCTGGGTGGGCACCATCTAATCAGCTGCCAGCGTGGCTAGAATATAAGCAGGCACAAAAACATGAGAAGACTAGACTGGCCTAGCCTCCCAGCCTACATCTTTCTCCTGTGCTGGATGCTTCCTGCGCTTGAACATAGGACTCCAAGTTCTTCAGTTTGGGACTCGGACTGGCTCTCTTTGCTCCTCAGCTTGCAGATGACCTATT